AAGGTCTCAATAAGTGTAACATCGGGATGAGCTTATATCTTTAAAAATGTCAATAGTTCACAAGATACAAGGTAATTTCTTAATTATTGACATTATTCAAGATATAAACTCATTTCGATGTTACACTTATCGAGACCTTTTATTTGAGTACCCACATGCATTTTTTATATATTTGTCATATATTCATATATATAATATATATAAATACATAAAATATATGAAAAATTGATGTGAGTACTCAAATGAAAGGTCTTAATGAGTGTAACATCAGGATGAGCTTATATCTGTAAAAATGTCAATATTTCACAAAATACAACGTAATTTTTTAATTATGTATGGAAAAAAAAAATTGTTAATAAATAAGTTCTTTGAACCTAAACAATAAGAAATTAGAATCTTCTAAACGCGTCACCTACTCGAGTGTATTTAACGGGTCTATAAATATCTAAAAGTGTATAAAAGCGTCTAAAAATAAACTAGAGGAAATTTTCTAAGCGCATATTGTCGTGTTTAAGCCAGACGTTTTAGTGGGCTATCAAACTGCTAACAAGACGCTACTGTTCTTATCGAATTAGGAAGAAGACTACGCGCGCGCTTTAAAAATACTTATTAAAAAAAATATATCAATAATTGTGAATAAATTATGAATGAAAATTGTATGGTTTGTGGAAAACCTGCGGAGCAAAAATGCAGTGCTTGTAAAAGCGCGTACTATTGTTCGCGAGAGCATCAAAAAATTCACTGGAAGGAGCACGCTAAAAAGTGCAAGCTTTTCAGAGTAAGTACAAAGATTTACCTAAAAAATCCAATGTACAATTTTAATTTTCAAATTCAGATTTCGGAGGACGAAAAAGTGGGCCGTCATTATGTCGCAACTCGAAAAATCGACGCGGGAGAAGTAATTCTCCGAGAAACAAAGGCGCTTGTGGCGGGACCTGCTCAAGGAACGCCGCCATTGTGTCTCAACTGCTACAGTTTGTTGGAGAAAAAAACAGCGAAGCCGTGCGAAAAATGCGGCTGGCCTCTGTGCGGAAATTGCACTCAGCATGGCGACGAGTGTTTGTTCACAGCCAAATATCACAATTCAAAAGTAATTTTCCTTTTAATTTAATTAGTTTAATTGTTATTCACATTTTAAATCATGAGGTGTAAAGAAAAATGGCGCTTGCAGGTCAGTGTTACGGAGTTCGGGATCCCCCACCCGACTTACAATTGCATTGGAATAGTGCGCGCTCTGGCGTTGAAGGAGACTAACAAGGATAAGTACTTGCAATTTATGAATTTAGAGGCGCATGATAAGAACAAAGATAACAAGCGGTTGGATGAATTTCTTGAAACTGCAAAATTTGTTAAGAGGTTTTTTAAGTTAGATGGCGTTGAGGATGAAGAAATTGCGCGAATTGCTGGAATTATTCAGGTAAAATTAATTAATTAATTAATTAATTAAAATTTAGTGATTTATTGGGTTAATATTTGAATATTTAATAGATTAATGGTCATGAAGTTCCGACAACAGAAAATCCACATGTTGCTGTTTACAATGAAGCTTCGTACTTTGAACATAATTGCAAAGCTAATTGTTCGAAGAGTTTTACAGAGGAAGGGGGAATTTTAATTAGAGCTGCTCTTCCAATTGCTAAAGGTATCAATATTTATCTGAAAATTTTTTTTCAAAGCTGCAGAAATTTTAAATAAAAATATTTGCCGCAAAAATATTTATTCAAAATACTTTTGAGAAAATAACTGCAGCGCCATCTGTTGAAAATATATTTAATTAACTAAGCGGGATTTCGGCTATGTGTGTGTTGGCGCAACGAGCAGAGAGTGTGTGCTGACACACGAGTGCGGAAAGCTTTTTCTATTAATTTAAATAAATATAACTGTAATTAATATAATATTCCGCACAATTTTATGATAAAAAATTGAATATTTATTAAATGAATGCAAGTTTTTTATTTTAATTTTTAGGTGAACATTTAACTATGTGCTACACGGATCCACTATGGGGTGTTACAAACCGACGACATCATTTATATCAAACTAAATTATTTGAATGTACTTGTTCCCGATGTTCTGACCCTACTGAATTTGGAACTATGTTCAACGCACTTAAATGCGCAAAAAAGTAAGCTATCTTTTTAAAGTTAAATAAAATTAATTAATAAAGATTAATACTAATAACTAATTAAAATTAATTAATTGAAATTAACTAACTCAAATCAATTACTTAAAATTAATTATTTGATTTAGAGACTGCAGCGGGTATATTTTACCGCCAACTTTCACAACCCGGCTTAACCTGGAAGCCCCACCGGACTATATCTGCAACAAATGCGAGAAAAAAACTCCCTCTAGCGACATAGATAAGCAGCTGGAACAAATCGGCATAGAATTGGCGACTATGAAGAAGAACGACGTGTTAATTTGCAAAAATTTCATCGCTAAATACAGCAAAGTCTTGCACGAAAACCATTACTACCTAACTGACGTCAAAATGGCGCTAGTACAGCTGATCGGTCAGCAAGATGGCGGACTGCCTGCTTGCAGTGATGAAGTATTGAGCGAGAAAATCGCGCTTTGCAAGAAATTGGATGAATTACTTCGGAAATTAGTTCCAGGTATTAATTTATAAGTGTAATTATAATTATTTAATAGACTTACATTTTTGTTTTATCCTTTCCAGCTGAAATTCGAATTAGAGGACTCATTTTATTTGAAGTTCATGCGGGAATTGCCGAGTTTGGCCGTCGGCAAGGTCCTGATGAACTGCGTGGCATGTTGATGGTAATAATTTTTATTTTTTTTCTGTAAAAGAAGTAAATTAAAATTTTTAATTTGATTAATTTTTTTTAGTTATCAAAAAATGCGCTGACTGAAGCATATCAGCTGCTGCGTTACGAGCCAGACATACTTCCAGAGGGAAAAATAGCGAAAATAGCTTATAAAAATTTAAAAGAAATGGATATTATTATTAAAACTCTTTGTCAAAAAGCTGCATCTCCTATGTAACTCAATAAATTGTTCAATAAATTTCTTGCAACAATAAAATTATTAATTTTATAAATTTTTATGTCGACATAAAGCAATCGCTTTAAATTTTAGCGACATTTGAGGGCTCTTGATACCTTTGGCGCCATCTTTTGGAGAAGAAAGAACCTCTTAATAAAAATCTTACCAACTGAGAATTCCCCAGAAAGTCAAAATAAAAAATTAATTATTTCATATTGCTTATTTATTATTATAAATTATTTATAAAATTTATGATAAAATTTTTTTTTAGTAATTCAGATAAAAATTTTGGGAATTTTTTTGTAAATTTTGGAGTGAATAATTGTAATTAGTTCATAAGTTGGTGAACTGACAAAAGTCACTAGTTATTATTACTAGAAAAAAAAAAAAAAATAAATAAAAACATGGAAGGCTGACGTATTTTTATTTTGATGTAAAAAAGGCAACAAACTGTATTTAATAAACAAAATAACGAGACACAATGGAAATATCAGACGATTTAACGAGAAACTCGCAAAGAAATCAGGATAATTATTTAGAAGCACTTACGGGAGACGAGTGTCGGCTGTGTTTACAAAAATCTAAGGAGTCTTGGCCATTGTTTCAGTCTAATGACAATCAATTGCCTCAAAAAATTATGGCTTGTGCTGCGGTACAGGTTAGAATTAATTCATTTTATTTTTTTGGTAGTTTTTTGGGTAAAAAAATTTATTTTTTATAAAAATTAATTTTTTAAATAATTTATTAGTGTTATTTATTAAAATTTTCTTTAAAATTATAGTGAAATTTAACAAATTTTATTTCAAAAAAATTACAATTGAAATTGTTTTATAATTAACTAATAATAAACAAATTTTTTTCCACCAAAAAAATTTTCAAATAAATATTACTAGCAACTTTGCAGTCACTATGTGACTACCGTGACTTGTGAGCGATAAATAAATAAAATTTTGCTTTATTGAATAATGAATTTTGTTAAATTGCACTGTACTTTTTTAAATATTGACATTTTTAAAAATATAAGCTCATCCCGATGTTACACTCATCAAGAGCTTTCATTTGAGTACCCACATGTATTATTGATATATTTTTCATATATACATATATATATAATATATATAAAATATATGAAAAATTGATGTGGGTACTCAAATGAAAGCTCTCGATGAGTATAACATCGGGATGAGGTTATATCTTTAAAAATGTCAGTAGTTCACAAGATACCAGGTTATTTCTTAATTATGCATCTAGAGATATTTTCAAATACAGCCTAAATATTTACACGGAAAAAAGTAAACTGTAATAAATAACAGTCGATTTATAATAAGTAATGATCAACTGTTAAAAATTACTATTTCAAACATTAAAATCGTGATTTTACTATTCACTTTATAATATTTACCATTTAAATGTTACAATTTACTCTTTACATGGAAGAAAATGCTACTTCAAACAGTAATATTCGCTATGTAAATATCTAAAATGTTTAAGTATAATAATTAACAATTACTGAAATTCGATAATTTATTCATTTGGTTTTGCTTGGACTGGTAAAATGTATATTTTAACAGTATAATATTTACTGTTTCAAATGTTAAATTCTCCCAGAGTGAGATCCCCTTCTCTTTCATCTGAGTTCCCCTTCTCCTCATAATATCGACTATATATTGAAATGGCAATTGTTACTGTTTGAAACTGTAATTTTTTAAGATGAAAGAGTCGTTATTTACTATATTGACAACTATCACTTATTGTTGGATATTAAATTATAAATTGTGGCTTTTATACTTTCTACATTAAGTTCTGTAATATTAATATTTTTGCCACCCCGATGTCCGCTTTACTGTTTGAAATTATAACAAATTAACCGGAATCCGAGTGAATATTATTACAGTTTACTTTTTTCCGTGTATAATAAATTGATTTTTCTTAATAATATAGATTATTCAAAATCTTCCAGATCCTGGAAGGCGACGGCCTTCCTTCAACAATCTGCAGCCCATGCAACCGTCTGCTCGAACTCTCCTACAACTTCAAGCTAACCGTCGAAAAAACCGACTCAAAATTACGAAGCCTATCTTACCCAAAACCGATTATCGTCTTCACAGAATCTCTAAGCCACCCTTTGGAAAGCATCCCCAAGATAGAAGACCGTCTTATCAGCCAGAGCCTCGAAAGTTCCCACTTACTGCAACTAAATAGCAGCATCGACAACACAATAATCTTCCGCGTGGAAGATCTAAAACCAGATAAAGACTCTCAAGTTGTTCTTCTAGAAAAACTCGACGAGTTCGACGACCACATGCATAACAAGGACTTCTTTCAAATCAAAACCGACATCTTGGAGCCTTCCGCCCCAGAAAACTTCAAAGATTTGGATAAAAACAGTTTGGAAAAAAAATCTGAGTCAATTAACAAAAAATCTAATTTGATGTTCATCTGCCATATTTGTACCGAACAATTTAATTGCGTTGAAAAATTAAAAGAACATGTTACTACTCATGATTCTTTAAAAGGTTCTAATTCTAATTGTTGTTCTGATGAACAGAGTGTTGATGATCATTTAATTAATGATAATTCTATTGATAATAATTCTGATAGTGAAATTTCTGTTAATGATGATCATAATTCATTAAATAATCATCATAATTTATTAAATGATATTGATAGTGATAATTTATTAAATAATCAAGCTTGTATTGATCAAAATTTGGTTCAAAATTTTAAAAATCAAAATTTGGTTCAAAATTTAGACACTCAAAATTTGGATCAAAATTTTAAAAATCAAAATTTAGATCAAAATTTTAAAAATAAAAATTTGGTTCAAAATTTAGACACTCAAAATTTGGTTCAAAATTTGGACCAAAATTTACAAACTCAAAATTTAGAAGCTCAAAATTTGGTCGAAAATTTACAATCTCAAAATTTGGATCAAAATTTACAAACTCAAAATTTGATCAACAAAAAATCATCAAAATACAAATGTAAATTTTGTCCTAAGCAATTTACCTACGAAAAATCCTATCAAACCCACGCAAAGTCTCACAAAGACCCTAACCACCAACCAAATTCTGACGAAGAAGACCAAGACCCAGAAGATGACCTCCCAGAGGGTCTCCAATGCTTGCAATGTGGAAAATTGTTCGCCACAAAGCGCAATTTAAAGCGACACATTTCAACGCACACCGGAGTGAAATTCAACTGCGAGACTTGCAGCAAAGAATTCTCCAGGTTGGACAAATTAAAGGAGCACGAGTACGCTAAGCACTCTGCGGATTTCACGGACAGTGATGAAGACAAACCAGAAAAAGAAAGCAAGGAGTTGAAGAAAAACAGACCGCACAAGTGCTCTTTGTGTCCTAAAGCCTTCGCCCAGCAGCAATCGCTGAACAATCATTTGGAAAGGCACAAGAGGGTGAAGGACACCCAGAAGAGGTTCCTCTGTGATGTCTGCAGCAAATGCTTTGCTCAGAGTGGCTCTCTGGTGGCTCACATGAGGACTCACACTGGGGTCAAGCCTTATGTCTGCAGCGTCTGCTCTAGGGCTTTTACTAAAAGCACTTATCTTCAGCTGCATCTAAGGACTCACAGTGGAGAGAAGCCTTATATTTGTCAGTACTGCAGCAGGGCTTTTGCTAGGGCTAATACTCTTGCTAGGCACATTACTATGCACACTGGGGAGGCTAAGTATCATTGCCAGATTTGTAGGAAGAGCTTTAGAAGGTTGACTTCTTTGAATGAACACACTTATACTCACACTGGCCAGAGGCCTTATGCTTGCAAAATTTGTACGAAAAGGTATAATAATGCTGGGAGTCTTTATGCGCATACTAAGAAGTGTAAGGCACAAAATGGCGCGGAGGTTGGTAAGGAGACGCTACCGCTAGAGGGCAAGGCGGTGGATCCTCTTGCGATTGATGAAAGTTTTACGGCGGATAATAAAGAGTTTAAAGCTGGGTTTTTTAATATTTATCCTAGTATGTAAATTTATAATGGAATTTTATGACAAATTTTTGTAAAAAATTTTTTAATTTAAATTTTTTATTGAGATTTGTTGTAAAATTAAAAAAAAAATTGAAATCTGTATTTTTTTTGATTTATTTTTTTAGAGGTTTATTGTTAGATTTGTAAATAAAGTAAATACTTTTTATTTATGTTCTATTAGCTAGATTGTAGGATTGAAGTACTTTTGTATGGATAAGTGATAAGCACATTAAATGTGAAGATACTTTTATAATAACTTTTGTATAAAATATATAAAATACATTTTGAAAGTTTTGGGCTTTTTTTCTTTTTTTGAAAACATTTAATAATTTTTTTAATAAATTATCAAAAAAATCGAGGAAAAGAAATTAAAAATTGACTTTAAAGTTAGCAGACACTTGACCATTTTTTATTTTTTTTTAACAAACAAATTTGTACTGAAAAATTATTTTTAAAAAATTGCATTTTTCATTTTTTAAATTTTTATATCAATTTTTTTTCTCATTTTTTCTTTGTTAAAAAAATTATTAAATATCTCTAAGAATTAATTTAGCAAATATTTAATGATTTTTGGAATTTTTTTTAAAGATAAATTATGGCAAAAAAAAATTGACATGTAAAAATTAAAAAAAAAAAATAAAAAAAGCAATTTTTAAAAGATAATTTTTAAAAATTTTTCTGTTGAATAAAATTAAAAAATTATCAAGCGACTGCTAACTTTAATATCTTCTAAAATAATTCTTATAATTTAAAAAAAATAAAAATGCTATTTTTTGGAACAAATTTGTTAAATAAAATTAAATTATCAAGTGACTGCTAACTAATGTCATTAAATTATGGGCAAAGAATTATTATTTTTTTAGAATTCTTGGAGATTTTTTGGTTAAAAATATCATAAAAAATAAAAAATACTGGATTTTATTATCATAAAAAAACTTACTTGGCTCAGAAGATTTCTTGAATTTTTCAGGATAAATTTTTTTTAATTAAAAAATGACTAACTAAACACCAATAGATTTAAAAATTATTTTTTGAAAATATTGTTAAATGTCGTTGTAACCCGGCATTTTAAAAAAATATATTCTGACATTTATAACAATTAATTTATTAAAATTTATATATTAGACTGTTTGATATCATTAATAGAGTGATTATTTAGTATTATTTCAATAAATCAACTCAATTAGTCAGCATAAATATGAAAATAAATAATTGACAAGAAGGCTGATCCGCGCGACGCCATTTACCGTTGAGTTTTGAACTCAGTTTCGTCTTAGTTCGGAAGCTTTCGGATTTTTAGGTTTGCGCATGCGCGGCGGGAATTTCTGAAATTTCAAACTTTATTTTAAAAATTTATTATTTTAATTTTAAATTTGATCCTAATAATAATAATTAATTAATAATAATAATAATAATTTTAAAACTTTATTATTATTTAAATAAAAACAATATTTTTAATATTTATTTTAAGAAATAACACTAAAGAAAAGACATTAATAATTTATTATTAATTTTATAATAAATTATTATTAAAAAAATTGTAATAAAATAATTAATAAAAATATTTAGAAGCATTTTATTATTGTAATTAATTTTTGACAGCTAACTTCAGTATTATAATTATTATTATTATAATAAAAAAACTTTCATTTTAAAAAAATGTAAATTTAATAAGTTCCAAAGATTATTTAAAATTCATTACATAAAAGTTCAAAGTTCAGTTTTTTCAATTACTTCTTTCCTCATAAATTTTAAATAAAAAATTTAAAAGCCAATAAGAAAATCAAATAAAACTTTTTTTAGTCACACAATAATTAAATAAATTAATTAAATAAATTTAAACAGAGAGAAACTTTAATTTTATTCTAAAAAAAATATTAAATAAAAAGAATTAAAATGTAAATAAATATTTAACTTACCTGCAACAGTGGCGCCGCCAAAAAAAAAAATTTAATAACAACAGCACACTTGATACTAAATACTGGCCGACAATCAGACGCACGGAGGTACTGTTACTGTAAAGGTTACTGTTACTAATTACAAAAAATGGAGGTGAGTAATTCTTTATAATAATTTATAATTAAAGTGAAGTTTTTAAAGAAAAATTAAATAAAATAAATTTTTTAGATTGAAGTTCTGCACGCGAAATCCTCGCAATCAATAACAACAGTAAGAGTCACCGACAGTACAACGATCCTGGAGCTCAAAAAAGAGCTCGCTAGGCAAAAAAAGGCTCCGTATGTAGAAAGACAGAGTTTAAGAGCTGATGCCAGAGGAAAATCACTTGGAGATAATGAAACAATTAAATCTCTGGCTCTGAAGGATAATAAGTTGTACTATAAAGACCTGGGGCCGCAGATTGGCTGGAAGACTGTTTTTTTGGTTGAGTATGCTGGACCCTTGGTGGTCTATCTTTGGGTTTACTCCAGGCCCTGGTTGTTTTATGGAAATACTAGTGCTGAAATAGATCAGGTTGCTCAGTAAGTTTTTTTTAATTTTTATAAATAAAAATTTGATAATTTATTTAAGAAAAAAATTTTGGAATTTTTAAGGTGAAGGTTTTTATTTTTATTTTTATTTAAGTATCCAAGATATGATAAAATTGTTTTTCTAGAGAAATTTAGTGTCTTAATTTAAATTAGTGCTTCTTCAAGGTTTCATATAATTCTAAACGATAGAATTTATTATAAAAAATAAGGCTGCATTTGAAAATATCTCTAGATACATAAATAAAAAATGACCTTGTATCTTGAGAACTATTGACATTTTTAAAGATATAAGCTCATCCTGATGTTACACTCATTGAGACCTTTCATTTGAGTACTCACATGCATTTTTGATATATTTTTTATATATACAAATATAATATATATATAAATATATGAAAAATTGATGTGGGTACTCAAATGAAAGGTCTCGATGAGTGTAACATCAGGATGAGCTTATATTTGTAAAAATGTCAATAGCTGACGAGATACAAGGTCATTTCTTAATTATTGACATTTTTAATAATATAAGCTCATTCTGATGTTATACTCATCGAGACCTTTCATTTGAATACTCACATCAATTTTTCATATATTTTATATATTTATATATTTCATAATACATATATATAAATATATAAAATTGCCATGTGGGTACTCAAATGAAAGGTCTCAATGAGTGTAACCTCAGGATGAGCTTATATCTTAAAAAATGTCAATAATTAGGAAATGACCTTGTATCTTGTGTAATATTGAAATTTTTAAAGATATAAGCTCATCCTGAGGTTACACTCATTGAGACCTTTCATTTGAGTACCCACATGGCAATTTTTATATATTTTATATATATTATATATATGTATATATGAAAAATATATCAAAAATGCATGTGAGTACTCAAATAAAAACTCTTGATGAGTGTAACATCAGGATGAGCTTATATCTTTAAAAATGTCAATATTTAATTAAATACAGTTCAATTTAACAAAATTCATTATTCAATAGTAAGATTATATTTATTTATAGTTAACTACAGCAGTCACGTAGTGACTGCAAGGTTACTAGTTTACAATAAATATAATTTTTATTTAAAAAAAAAAAATTTTTATTTGAGTTTTAATAAAAAAAAAATTCTTTTTATATAACCTAGACTCTCTGACTCGTGAGTGCGTAACTTATACCTTATAAATATGCAAATAATCTTTATTTAAAGAATTAATTAAATCAAAATAAATATTAATTCAGTGAATAATGACAATGAATGTTTCAGCTGGGCAGCGTTATGTTGGACAATTCACTACGCTAAGCGTATCTACGAAACATTATTCGTCCATCGATTCAGTCACGCAACGATGCCACTTAGAAATTTATTCAAAAATTGCTCCTATTACTGGCTATTCACGATGTACGTTGCTTATCATGTTAATCACCCGCTGTACACGCCACCGAACAGCCTTTGCTCGCTCCTGGGACTGGCGATGTTCGCGGTTTGCGAATTAGGAAACTTGAGCATCCACTTGGCTCTTAGGAACCTCAGGCCTCCTGGAACTAATGTTAGGAAGATTCCTGTCGCTACTTCTAATCCTTTTACAGCACTCTTCAACTTTGTTTCCTGTCCGAATTACACTTATGAAGTCGGAAGTTGGATTGGGTTTACAATTATGACTAAATGTCTTCCAGGTTGGTTTTTTTGAAAAAAAATTATTTATAATAAAAATTCAGCTTTAAATAAATTATTGAAAGATTTTATCAGAGTTAAAACTCTGAATTATGATGGAATTCATTTTAATTATAAAAAAATATTAAGATTGAGCTGACAATAGTCAATTTATGATGATAAGTATCAAAAATACTTTATTTCTAGATACATAATCAAGAAATGACCTTGTATCTTGTGAACTATTGATATTTTTAAAGATATAAGCTCATCTTGATGTTACACTTATCGAGACCTTTCATTTGAGTACCCACATCAATTTTTCATATATTTTATATATATATTATATATATATGTATACATCAAAAATATATCAAAAATGCAAGTGGGTACTCAAATGAAAGCTCTTGAAGAATGTAACCTCAGAATGAGCTTATATCTTTAAAATATATATTATATATTTATATATGTATATATAAAAAATGCATGTGGGTACTCAAATGAAAGCTCTTGAAGAATATAGCATCAAGATGAGCTTATATCTTTAAAAACTTCAATATTTAAGAAAGTACAGTTCAATTTAACAAAATTCATTATTTAATAAAGCAAAATTTCATTTATTGCTTAAATAAATTATTTTTCTTATAAAAAATCTCAAATACCACCACTATTATTAAAAAATATTAAATATTATCTTCCAGCTGGATTCTTCATGCTGGCAGGCGCTTACCAGATGACAGTATGGGCGCTAGGAAAGCACAAACTCTACAAAAAGGAGTTCTCCAACTACCCAAAGAACCGCAAAGCCATCATTCCATTCATAATATAATTTTTTTACTATTCAATACTTATAAATTAAAACAAAATAAAAGGGATATTAGGAAAATAATAATCTCCACTAAAGTTTACCGTTTTTTATATATGAAAATAAAGTTAGCCGACATCTAAAAATGTTTATGATTTTTTTTATTAAAAAGTTATTAAAAAAAAATAAAAAAAAAAAATTGTCACTTGTTTTTCAGTTATAATTTGATAAATTAAGTAAAATAAAAAATGTCGGCTAACTTAATTATCATTTTTTATAAACCTGCTTCCTCAAAGACTCAACAGTCCTCTCCAATTGCTCCCTCTGTCTCTCAAACTCGCAAACAACATCAGCGCCATCTCTCACACTCTTCCTAAACTCCTCACCAACATACCTCTGAAACATCTGCTTGATCCAATTCCTTAGCTCCTTATACTCACAAATCTCCACAGCCTCCACAAGGTCTCTCCTAACCTTCTCCAAAATTTTCTCCAGCTCCCTAACCTTCTTAACCCTAACCTCCCCCTCTTTCTTCGCTCCCGCAACCTTATCCTTCAATTCCAGGGCCTTAATCTCCAATCTATCATTCCTCTTCTTCAAATTCACCAGCTCAACCTCCATCTCCTCAATCTTAACCTTCAATTCCTTAATCTCCTCCTCCCTCGGCTCAATCTTCTCCTTAAGCTCCTTGATCTTATAATTCAGCACAAACTTATATTTCTCCAGCTCACTATTACTCCTCAGTAGCTCCGCAATCTTCCTCTCCTTCTCCTGAATCATTCCATCCCTCTCCCTAACCTCACTCTTCAAATCCAACAAATCCTTCTCCGCCTCCGCAATCATTTTCTGATAATGCTCCACCTCCCCCTTAAAACTCCCTAACTCCCTCTTTAGCTCATCAATATCCCTCCGACTCGCCTCAAACCTATTCCTCAGCACCCCCGCTTCTCCTTTGAGCCTCAAACTCGCCCCCCTCTCCTCAAAAAGCAGTGCCTCATACTCCGTCCTAACCTCCACAATTTCCCTATCAGCATCCACCTCAATCCCCTCCTTAACTTCTTCATGCTCCCTCAAAACCTGGGTTATTTCCTCCTGGAGCTCCTCAATCTCCGCAGTCTTCTCAAAAATCTCCTCTTCAAACTTCCGCGCCATCTGTTGACGCTCTCCAAGCAACCTCTCCTTCAACTCCGCCATTTTGTCTTCAAAATCCTTCCTCATATCATTCCTAGCTTTCTCCAAAGCAACATACTTATCATACTCCAAAATCAGCTTATTATTATAATCACTCTCCATTTCCTTTATAACCTCCTCATTCTCCTTCTTCTTCCTCAAAATCTCCACATTAATCCTATTTAATTCACTCTGCCTATCCTCCTTCATCCTCTCAATCCTCTCCAGTAATTCCTGCACCGCCTCGTAGTACCCGCCATTAATCTCCTTCAACTTTTCACAATTCTTAACCTCAATTTGCCTTAACTTATACGAATTTTCCGTCTCTAATTCCTTTAACCTCCTCTTCAACTCTTCTATCTTCAAAACCTTATCCTCTAAATCCACCTTACCGATTAGAACCTCGGTAGTGTAGGTCACCGCAACTTTCTCCGGCCCTATGACTCTCCAAAAGCATAGACTGCCATCTATCGCCGCGGAAATGACAACATGTTCCTGATTCGCCAAACTGAGATCACTAACCTCACTACAATGCACATTATAACTCCTTATCTCTCCTTTTCCTTGATCTTGCAAATTAAAGAACAAAATGGCGCCTCCGGGGCACGTAATGAAGGCCAAAGGGTTCTGCTTTCCCACCAACAAGCTCATCATATCCTCCGCCATATTGAATTCCCTCACCACACTGTCCCTAATCTCCCTAATCTTCCTATCAGTAGCGATGCAAAATATCGCACCCAATCCAACAGCAACACCATGAAGCTTAACATTCTTGATGATAGTCTCAGAAATCCTGGACCCGGTGCTAATGTCCCAGACGTAAATGGCGCCTTCGTAGCCGCAGGTTACAAGCTTAAGATCCGACTGGAACCAAACCACTTCTTGGATGACTCCAGTGTGCCCTTTTAGGACCAATCTTTGCGCGAAGGTCACTGTAGTATAAACCTGGATGACGTTGCCATTAACTGCTGCGAAAAGATGCCCTCCCTGGCTGAAGCTCATGGTCCTGCAGTCGCGAATAGCGAATTCCTTGGCGGGAATAAGGTCGTCAATCAGGATTTTCATGAATCTAAGCTTGTCCGTGAAGGATATCAAGCAGAACAGGCCAACCGGGTGCAAGGACACTGAGAAAATGTCTTCTGAGTACTGTTTCATCATCAGTAAGCTTTCAGATTCGTAGTCCCAGAGCCTGACACTCCTGTCGCTGGCTCCGCAAGTCATAAACACGGATTTCCAAGCACACATGCTGACCTTACTGATCTTTCCTTGGTGCAGAGCCTGCCCCATGATCTGCAATTCCTCTTCTAGGTCTTCTGAGTCGTCGCTAAGCTTCGCGGAGAACAATTGGGACCAACCTGTGGTTACTATCAATTGGTTGTGGCTAGGGTTGATATTCACTGAATTAATCCGGTATAAATCTTCCCCAGAAGCTGTAGAGACCTGGTTAGGCACCTTAAAGACCTGCTTTTTAATAAATTTGTGATGATTTTCCTTCTGGAAGACTAATAAGCTTCCAGAACCCCAACCAAAGGCAAATCCTTTTGGATAAGACACCAAACTGCGGATTTCTTCCGGCCAGCTGGACAATTCGGGGCTTGGGGTTATCACAAACTCATCCCTGGTCTTTAAATTGATGACATTAAGCTCCTTAACTATAAAAATAGCCTTTAGATCACCATTATCAAGGTAAAATAGCCTTCCATCTTTGGTTCCAAAGAGCAACCTGTCGGTATTTAACCAAACTAATGAGCTGATGAGTAAATTGTCTGCTTTGGAGAAGCCGTAAGGTCGCCATACGGTTTCAGAGACTGTTAAGAGCTTGAAAGTATGTGGCCCAGCCACTGCGACAATTCCAACGTCTCCAGGATTGCAGGATATTAAACTGATGTAAGATTCGGGGTCTAGGTTAGGAAGTTTTAAAGAAGATTCTACTTTACCTTTCTCCCAGAGGTAGTACAGGAGGGTTGAGTCAGGCTCTCCGGTTATCGCCGCTAGGTAGCGGTTGTCGAAGCTAAAAGCGATGCAGGAGAATTTGGTGACGCCGGGAGAGTCGTAGGGAATTACTAGGGACTTTTTGCGCTTTAGTTGAGAAAGGTCGTAGATTGAGATCGAAGGTTTGTCGCCGGTTTCGCAGAGGGCGACATATTTTCTGGAATTTTTAGTTTTAGGTTAGAATTTTGATCATACTGAAGTTAACCACAGCAAGAAAGCTGACAATTTTATTTTGAACTACTTTTAAAAATTAAATTTTTTTTTTTTTTTATTAAAATTTTGGTATAAATATGATTTTGAATAATTTTGAGGTTATGGATGAATTTATCAGACATTAATGAAATTTTTAAATAAAATATAGTGTATTAATTTTATTAATTATAATTTTGTAATTATTTCCTTAGTTAATTAATTTTGTCTGTCAGATTTTTACTAAAATAAGCAGAAATTTGAGAATTTTATATTTTTTAAATCTTTAAGCTGACTTATAATAATTATTAAAACTTTTTTTTAACAAATAAATTATATATTAAAATTTTTTAAAAAATGATTCATATTTTTTTGCAAAACTAAAAAATGTCAGCTGATATAAATTAAATAAACAAAAAACTTACTTATTAGGCGTCAAAGCGATGATATTAACATTCCGCTTGTCAGAAAGATGCAGCAGCCGCTGTTTCTGCCTCTCAAAATTATGAACAGCCAGAGCATTTCCCACCGGATAAAGAACATCGCTGTCAGTAACAAAATGTGCGTTGTTTAGTACGTCAGTTTTTAAACCATAAAAGACTTTCGTGTGCAGCTCTATTTGCGACATTGCAATCAACTTATTTATTTGCCTAGCAACGGTGTATATGAAGTGTATAAACTTACCACAAAAATAAATAAAAGTGAAGCTAATATAAAGCGTGTAAAAATGGACTACGCTGAAGATTCTGGAGCTTTGATCAATGGAACCTTTGAAATTGACTTTCTTCAATTTTTGTATCCTTTTTTTCTTCTTTCACTAACTTAAATATATTTTTTAAATATATTTCCTTATACAAAAATAGTCACTCACATGGATATAATTGTCAAAAACACTTTAATTTATGTATTATGGATCCTGATACTGTTATTTATGCATCAGGATGCTTGATCCATATTTTGGATACTAAATCTGGGAGGTTAAAATTTAGAAGACATCAAGGAGTCAGCCATATTGCTGTAAATTATATTTATTAATAATATTATAATTAATTTATTTAATTATTAATTAATTTATTAATTTTTCAGAAAAATCCAAAAAAACCTCACATAGCTATCGCAGAATCCGGCTCCAGCCCTCCAATTTTAATCTTCTCTTACCCAGACTTCAAATTAATTTCAAAACTTCCCGGTGGAACTTTTAAAAACTTCCACCAGGTGGCGTATAATTCCACTGGCGACTTGTTAGTTTCACAGGGCGCAGGTCCAGACAATTGGCTGACAATATGGAACTGGGAAGAATCTTCCATAAAACTGCGGACTAATTCTTCAAATTTAGCCGTATTAAACATAGTCTTCTCCTTATTTTCCCCGTCAAACTTCGTAACTGCGGGATCAGAGCACATTTGTTTCTGGAAAATGGCGGAAACCTTCACGGGGGAGAAGCTCCAGGGCACTGTGGGTAAATTTGGAAACACCGAAGACAGCGACATCATCGGAGTCATTTTTATGCCTGATGGTAAAGTAGTTTCTGGCTGCCAGTGGGGCAACATCTTGCTCTGGTACGAAGGCGCCATTTTGTTGGAGGTCAGGAGGAAGAATGGAAAGCCTTGTCATGATAATATGATCACTCAGTTTGAGTTCAATCATGGAGAATTGATGTCTGTTGGTAAGTAGGATTGAAGGTGGCTTTTGAGCTAATTGATCTGATGATTGATCAACAGGAATGGACGGCTGGATCAAGATCTGGTACTACGACAGCATTGATAATGATTCTTCGGAGTTTGTTGAAGTAGAACCAATCTATGAGTTTAGAATTTTTGAAGAGGACAATGGTATTGATGTTAATTCAATGCTAATGTGCATTAGGAAGAAAAATGATGATCCTGAAGATTCTTTCTGGTATGCTCAAGTAAGCTAACACTTTTTGGCAAGAGTTTCAGACCAACAAAGTTGTTGTCAAAAAGTTGCCACCAACTTATCGACAACTTGCCGTCAAATTCTGAATTTACAACTGTCGGTAACAATATTAGCGATACTTTGTTACGGCAATAATATGTCGTCAAATTTCTTGATAAACTTGTCGTCAACTTGATGTGAAAAAGTTTCAGAAGCAGTTTTAATGCTGACAACTTGATGAACAAATTGACACCAACCAAGTTCATTTCCAAGCCTTGCTGCCAATTTGGTGATAAGTTGTGGCAGTAGATTGACAGAAAGTTGCGACTAACTGGGCTATCAGATAGCTCAAAATAAATTTCCTTCTTCCAGGACGGTAATGGAGGACTCTGGTTGATCGACCTAGCAACAATGGCGGCGCCAAAGCAGCCCCAGAAGCTTCTAACCTGCCACGCTGGACCAGTAACAGACATCGCAGTCTGTTCATGGTCTTCTTTCTTCGCTTCTTGTGGAGATTATCAATTAAATATCTACGACTACTTGAAGAAAACTCTGATAATATCCTATAGGTTCTCCGACGTCTGCACCCAAGTTCTTTGGGTGCCATGCTCGGTATTGCAGACTGTTTTAAGGACTATCATATCAATGTTTATCTATACCGACTGTCGGTAATTCTAGGTCGAGCATACTGGGTCTACTTTGATTTGTTCCTTTGCCAGTGGAGTTCTCAGGGTTCTTGTGGTTGACGTCACAAAGCTTTCTGTGTTCCTGGTACAGATTACCAAGCCACATACTAAGAAGATACATATCATGGCGCTGAATTCTTCCAAGAAGTAATTTAATTATAATAATTGTAATTTGTTTTATCTTTAAAAATTCTTGCTCATTTCAGGTTACTAGCAACAAGTGCAGAAGATTCTACAATCTTTATTTTTAAAATTATTGTAGACAAAAATTTGAAATTAGAACCTGTTGGATATGTTTCTTTACCGGCAGTTGTTAATACTTTGACTTGGAACTCAGTAAGTCTTGAGTTAATTATAAATTAATTATAATTTATAAATAATTAATGTTTTTCTTAGGAAGATATATTGATGGGGTACAAAGAATTTGTCCTGAGATTAAAAGTTCCTGAAACTAGACCAGCTTATACAAAGATAAGCTTTGAATTGGTGGAATCTAAGCTAGAAACTTTTCAAATTTTTGATGATAAAGAAGATTCAAATTTGGAAGAATTGAAAGATATAATCAAAATTGATTATCTGGATGATGAAGTATGGTTAACGAGTGGAGGATTTGTTTATGGATTAAAACTTCCAGAAGATAGAACTCCTGGGGAAGTAAAGAGTTTAAAAATTGAATGGAAATTTTTTGTAGGAGAAATTTCAAGCTGGCTTTTTAAGTAAGCTGAAAATAAAATTGATTTAAGAAAAAATTCTGAATCAATTTTTTTGTTTAAAAAATATCAATTTAATTTTTTGTTTTAATTAAGTTAAAATTAATCTAAATAATAAAAACTGAATTTTTTTATTGTAAAAAAATAATTTAAAATTTTATAATAATTTCAGTGAAAAATGTTTAATTCTTGGGCTAAAAACTGGAGCAATAAAAGCTTGTAACCTCGCTGATTTATCAGACAACTGGATTCTTCAAATCCATGAAAATCCTAACGGTGAAATAACAAAACTTGTTATAAGCTACGACAATAATTATTTATTTTCTGCTGGTTGTGATGGAAATATTTTTTCTTTCTTAACAAAAAACAAAACAATTAATTTTGACACTGCAACTAAGTTAAAATCTATCGTTAGTACTCTAATCAATTGCTTGTAATAATTTAAATGAATAATAAGTATTAAAAAATCATTAAAATTAATTAATATACCAGGAAGAAGTAGCAGATATTGAAGATCATTTAAGTTTAGAAGAAGTGATAAGAAAAAAGGAAGTTGACCGCCTTTTGGAAGAAGCTCGGAAGCGCAAGGAAGAAATTTTGGCAACTTTGGAAACTCTTAGGATAGAGTACAACCGAATTATTGAAAGGAACAATGAGCTTCTTGAGTCCCAGCAACTGGATCCAGAAGAATTGGAGCTGGATCCAAGGATTACTGAAGATTTGGACAGAGAATTGAAGGAAAAGCTGGAAGATGTTTATAGAAAGTCGGAGTTTGATCTTGAAAAGAGTCGGCTGAGTTTGGAGAAGCTTTTGGACTTTTATATCCGGCCACTTACATGCGTTCCTTTTGCAGTCTCCAGGATTTTGTAAGTTTTTTTAAGGATTGCCTAATATTGCTGGTTAATTGGTGATTTTTTCAGGAAACCTGGAGCTGCAGTTCATTCAGTGAAGGAAAAGATTCTAGGAGATGAATTTCAAAGAATTTATGAGGAAATTCAAATTAATGAAAGGTAAAATGTATAAAAACTAATTTTAAGACTTTGAAAATCTTAAATTAATCTTGTTATTTTTGTTTCATACAATAGGAAAGATGAAAGAGGGTGAGTATAATTTTTTTATGAGATAAAATTGATAAAGTTTAAGGTCTAGACTTTCGCAGTTGTTTAAATGAGCATTCATATGTTTAACTTTAAATTTGAATAAAGAAAAAACGCAAACTTTCTAGCTTTTGATAATGATTTGATGATTGATGATTTTTTACCTTAGAATTGAAGAAGAGTCTCATGATGAATTTGTGGAAGAAGAAGAAGAAGAAGAAGAAGAAGAAGAAGAAGAAGAAGAAATAAAAGTAGAAGGAGTAGAAAGTTTTTTGAAAGGACTCAGTCCTGAAACGATTCAAAATAAATTAGGAGCGCGGATTAATCAGATGCTAAGGAAGTACCGGGAAAGGAAGGCAAGACTTGCTCAGAGAGCTCAAGAGGTGGTTTTTAAAATTTGAGAATTTTTCTACAATATTTTCTTAAAGGCTTTATCTCTCATTGTTAAAATTTAATCGGTATTATTTTTTTTAACTCACAAAAATCATGATAAAAGAGCACAACACGGGAAAAGAATTTTTTTAGCAATAAATTTTTGCATAAGATAAATTTTTGTCATTAGAAATCATTCCGGATTAATAAAGAAACGGAATCGGGTTTCTCATGGTTTTTATTAATAAAAAGTGGATTTTTAGTGGAAAATTATGCACGCCAGTAAGCCAGATCCTGAAGCTGACAATGAAGAAGATGTTAGGGCTGTTGAAGAAGCGAGAAGAACTATAGGGGATTATAAACTTAAAATTTCAAATGATTTTGAGTATAACAAGGATTTTAAAGAAAAGCGTGATACTACTTTGAGCAAATACAAGCAACTTTTGGATTGTAGAAAGAAGGTAACACTATCTTAATTTTTTTAATTATTAGAAAATATATTTAAGTATATTATTGATTGTAAAAATTATCACTGTTTTCAATTTATCATTGTTAAAGACTCATTTGCTTCGCGAAGGGTTTAACGACCGCCTTAGAGAGGTCCGTAACAAGAAATTGAACCTGCATAAAGAAGTAGCTGAATTAATTGACAAGTTAAAGTTCATTCACTCTGAAATTCCTGAAAAGCACATCAAGCCTTTGCCAAATTTGCTGGAAATAAATTACGACCTAGAATTTCCTGAAAAGAATTTGGAAGTAAGTTTTGGATTACATAATTGATTTTTAAATTTCAATTAATGACTGGCTTTTTAGATGGAAAAATACAAATCACTTGCGGAAAAGTTCAATGAGTCAAGGAACAAACAGTACAGTAAATCTTCTTCAGAGTCTCCGGGACAGATTAATTTAGTCCCTAAATTTTACGATGAGGAGTATGAAATTTTATTACTGGATCAGAAAATGATTAACAGCCAAATAAATGATCCAGAAATGGACTCTCTTCGTGTAAGTGTTAAACTAGAAATTCCAGAGGATAAAATTGATGAAATAAATTCGGGAGATCTTGAACAGACTCCGTGGGAACTAGAGATGAAACTTGCTCGGGTTTCTAAGAAAATTTACCAGCAAGATTGTATTATTGGGTATATAGAGAAGAGCTATAAGAAAATTGATGAAGAGTTGGACAAGTTGGAGAAAGAGCGCTTGGAGGTTCAGGCGGATTCTATCTACTCTGAGCTGCATCAGTTGACGCTCCAGCAGGAGCTTATTGTTCTGAGGGAGTTTGAGGGGAAAGAAAATTTGATGATTAAGAAAGTTGATGATGGGATTTATCAACAAGAAAGTGTTGAAAGAAAGGTTTGGAATTTTTATTTTTGTAATTTGTTAATTTTATATTAATTTAAGAAAATTTTTCTAGATTCAGAAATTAAATAGTTCTATTGAAGTTAAGAAAAAAGAAGTTTTGAAAATAACGGATAAGATTAAAGAATTGAATAGACAATTTGGGAGTATGATAAGTGAAAATAAATTTTCAGAGTATTTGAAAAAAATTTATAGAAAGAAGTTTAAAGTTAATCGAATTACTGATGGTAATTATTATTATTATTAAGTTATGATTTTATCCTTAAAAAAATAGTAATAAGCTATATTATTAAAAGAATAAGAAAAATTTTGTTTCCAAGACACATAATAAAGAAATGACCTTGTATCTTGTAAACTATTGACATTTTTAAAGGGATGAGCTCAAACCGATGTTACACTCATCGAGACCTTTCATTTAAGTACTCACACGCATTTTGCTAATTATTATTATTATCATTTCAGAATCGTCAGAATCATCATCAAGTGACTCAAGCACAGATGACAATCAACTAAGTACCGATGATGAAAATTTCTATCACCTAACTCTCGATGAAAATACCTGTCCTGTAGGCTGTGACGAGGATTTATATAAATCAGCGTTTTCTATGAGAGCAAAAAGACATGAGCTTGAAGCCCGGGTGAGAGATGACCAGAAAATCTTGGAAAATTTTCGAAAACAACTAGAACATGAGAAGAAAACTTTGAAAGTTATTGATAACAATTTGAATTTTAGTCAACGTGAGCTACAAGACTACTTGGTAAATAAAATATTAATTATTTCTTTGATAATTATAATTATATTAATAATTATTATTTGAGCGTAATTTTTAACAGAAAGAGAAGCAGAAGAAATTGAACGAAATAGATGTGACTGTAATTTTAAAATTACATCAACTGCAACATGTAAAAGGTGATGATTTGGAAAAAATAAGGGACTGTGTTGTGTTTGATAAGTCTAAATTGTCGCAATTGTATACTCGAGTTGGAGAATTGCAACAGGAGACTACCGACCAAAAAATAAAACACAAGTAACGATTTTTAATCTTCTCTTATCCAACCCCCTTAGCAACCGTTGCTTGGTAACAAGCTACGCCCCGTAACAGTTGCTTAGTAACAAGTCACGCCCCTTAGCAACCGCGATCTAAACCACGCCCATTAGCAACAGTTTCTTGGCAACAAGCTCTACCCTGGTAAAGGTTGCTTAGCAACAAACCTTGCTTCCTGGCAACCATGGTCTGGCCACGCCTCCTGGTGATAGTTGCTTAACAACAAGTTCCGCCCCTTAGTAGCCATGCTTTAGCCACGTCTCCTGGTAGGCGTTGCCTAGAAAAAATTGTCCAAAAAAATTCTACAGCAATTTGTTGATTAAAAAAAGGAGATATTAATAAATTTGGATAAATTTAATGATTTTTTCTTTCAGAAAAAATCGACAACACTTGCACAGAGTTGAAATAGACTGCGACTATATGGAAAGTGAAATAAAACGCTTGAAAGATGAAATAAAGCAGGAGATGATACAAAAATTTGGAAAAGAAGTATCACTGACTTCTTTGTACGAAGCGGTGCTAAGAAGAATGATTTATGATGTTAAAGCTGATATGAAAGAGATGATCAAGTCTTATGACAAAGAAATCAAAGGTAATTATTTTATTATAAATAATTAATTTATAATAATTATTTAATTATTGCTATAACAATAAAACATTGTTTTGGGGTATTAAAAAAAATTAATTATAATTTTTAGGCGCAGAAGAGCAGTATAAAGAACAAGTTAAGGTTTTAGAAGATTTGATAAAGGAAAACACGGAAAAATTGGGTCTTATGACGGCATTGGAGCAGGAGCGAAGAAAATTGAAGAGGATTATGAAGCACAAGCCGGAAAATGAGGTAAATGTTGAATATTAAAGTGTAATTATGGTTTTTTTTTTATGAATTTGATTGAATTTGAATAGGAAAATATTAAAAAAGTAGAAAAAGAGCATCAGGAAGAGATCAAAAGGCTGGAAATTATTTTGAGAAATCAGCGACAGCAGAAAGAATTGTTCCGCAATGAAATTAGAAATTTAAGACTCAAATCGCGACCTCTACCGCCGGTTTATCGCAAAAGTACTAAAGTACTTAGTTTGGATGAGGATTTTAAATTTGAAGATAGTTTGATGGAGAATGTAAGTTATTCTGATCCTCAAATGGAGGATGAGATTAATAAAGAGGTTCATAAGTTTGTGAGAGAATTTGATGGAGACAATTGCAAGGAATTAGTGGAGGAAATCAAAAATAATTCGAAAATTGGGAGAAATTTAAAGAGTTTGAAGAAAATTAATGAAATTTTGAAGAATAATTTGGGAGATAAATATGAAGAAGAAAATTTAATGGACGTAATTTCTAGGTTTGTTTTGATTGTTTTTTTTAATTATAATTATTTATATCTCATAGTAAAGAAATGACATTGTATCTTGTGAACAATTGACATTTTTAAAGATATAAGCTCATTCTGATGTTACACTCTTTAAGACCTTTCATTTGAGTACCCACATCAATTTTTCATATATTTTATATATTTATATATATGTATATATGAAAAATATATGAAAAATGCATGTGAGTACTCAAATGAAAGCTTTTGATGTGTGTAACATCGGGATGAGCTTATATCTTGAAAAACGTCAATATTTAAGAAACTACAGTTCAATTTAACAATAGTCGTTATTTAATAAAGCATTTTTAATTAATAATATCAAATTAATGAAAGTTAAATTATTTTTTCAGGCTAGAAGCTGAGTCAGAATCCCTAGCGGCTAATTTGTCTCTAAATTGGGACGTCAAGTCCAAGATTGAGGAATTACTCTCAAGCTTAGAATTAAAAGCAGACCTCGCGACTGTCAACAGTCTGTTAAATTATATACATGCAGAAAATTCTGACGCTGCAGTGGATTATTTAGTTGGAAAATTATCCAGCTCAGACTCGGAGGTAAATTCTGCGGTGCGCGACTACGCGGGTAAAATGCTCGCGGAAATTAAAAAATGTCTTACAAAAAATTAGAAATTCTTTAAATTAATGAAAATTTAGAATTTTTTATTAGAGTTTTAAAAATAAAAAATAATTAACACTAAAAATTATCTTATTAATATAACTTTTGTACATTTTAATTATTAAGTTATTTTTTTTTACAAAAAAAAAAATCAATTGCTAATATATTTAATTTGTTAATAATTTTTTAAAGATGGAAGTATAAAGGAAGAAAGTTAAAGGCACTTTCCTATGAATTTTTTGTAAAAAAATAATTGTCTAGTGTTTGTAAAAAATAAACTTAAAAAAAAAATCAATTTGAATTATAAAAAAAAATTTTTTTAATAAAAAAAAAATTTTTTTAATGAAGAAAAAAAATTTTTTTTTTTTCAATAAAAATAAAATAAAATTTTTCAAAATAATTTATTTAATTCAAATTAATTATATTTCCATTAATTAAACAAATTAAAGGGCGCGCATTAGCCTATCGGATCCGGCCCTTGCTTACCAAAGCATTGGACCGGGTTCGAGTCCGGCGTACACCAATGAATATTTTCAATATTTAAGTGTATTATTCTGCTCAGCCCAAGAAATACAAACGAGTTCCAATCTCAAAAGTTTACCCCCTACCGTAGTCGCTCATGACCTTAGTAGTTTATGCGACTTTAAACAAATAAAAAAATTTAAATTATAAAAAAAAATTTTTTTAATGAAAAAAAAAAAATTTTTCTTTTCAATAAAAATAAAATAAAGTTTTTCAAAATAATTTATTTAATTCAAATTAATTATATTTCCATTAATTAAACAAATTAAAGGGCGCGCATTAGCCTATCGGATCCGGCCCTTGCTTACCAAAGCATTGGACCGGGTTCGAGTCCGGCGTACACCAATGAATATTTTCAATATTTAAGTGTATTATTCTGCTCAGCCCAAGAAATACAAACGAGTTCCAATCTCAAAAGTTTACCCCCTACCGTAATCGCTCATGACCTTAGTAGTTTATGCGACTTTAAACAAATAAAAAAATTTAAATTATAAAAAAAAATTTTTTTAATGAAAAAAAAAAAATTTTTCTTTTCAATAAAAATAAAATAAAGTTTTTCAAAATAATTTATTTAATTCAAATTAATTTTTTTTTTTTTAATAATAAGAAGTGATAAGTGTAGAAATGAAAAACTTACAGGTACTGTTGAACTGTAATCTTGTCTCATATCAAATCTGTCGTCATGATGTCAAATTATAATTTCTTTTTTTTTAATTCTACTGACACAATTATCAGTGAGGTGAAGTAATTAAAATATAAATAAATATTTAATGTGTTACTTATAAGTAATATTATTTTTATTTTAAGTGTAATGAGGTTGGAAGAGTGTCACTGCTTTTTAAAGCTTTTGAGAATTGGGTAAATATTGTCAAAAGCCTCATAAATTTCGGTCCTTACTTTAGCTCCTGAAAAAAAAAAAAAATTAATTTAGATCATCAAAAATAATTTTTTTAATAATAAGTATTTTAATAATAAGAAAACTTTTTTTTTTTTAATATTAAAATGAATAAAAAAAAATTACCTGTAAGTACAACTTTACCGGACACGAAAATTAGTAACACAATTCGAGGTTTGACCATCCTATAAATAAGACCCGGAAATAATTCCGGCTCATAAGATGAGAATTGGCCGTGAGTAAGGACCAATCCTTCGAGTCTTATGGGGAACTTCACATCACAACTTCCCACCATGTTTTGGATCTTAAAATCTAAGAATTTAGCCTGTAAAGTAATTAAAATTAATTATTATCAGTTAATTATATTAACTATTATTATTATTATTATACAGAAATTAATGAACTTACGGGAAATCCAAGCTTTTGAATAATACGAGCGTACTTTCTAGCAGCCAACCGAGAGTCCTCTTCACTTTTAGCTCCAGTACAGACCATCTTGCCACTACTGAATATCAGAGCCGTCGTTCTGGGTTCTCTTATTCTCATAATAACAGCGGCAAAACGTTTAGGGTTGTACTCAGCGTTTCTAGCGTGTAGTGCAATTTTTTTAAGGTCTAATTTACAATTTAAACTTACTGTTGATACAATATTCCTATAAAATAATTTTAGTAATTATTATTTGATTTTTTAAAACATTAACTTTATTAATGATAGATACTTCTATTTAATTATTTAAAAAAATTATATTAAAAGTTTATTATTAATAGAAATTTTCAATGGTCCATTAAGGAGGTACTTTCGCCGCCAATGTAAAATAAAAAATATTAGATTATGAGTAAATTAAATTTTTTTCTAATAGTTAAGGTCCTTATTTATCTAATAGTGAGGTTTAAATTATACTTTACCGGACAAATTTTTGAAAAAATAAAATTTTTAAATGTTAGTATTTGTTCAGAGTCTTACGAGAAATAAGTCAGACGTTTGCAGTATTTCTCGAATTATACTATCAGTCATGGATTAGATGAAGTAAAAAAAAAACTAAAAATTAGATTTTCGAAATATTTAGGTTTCTTTTTTTGCAATAAAATATATCAGTTACCGAGATATTTATTGAGAAATTAATATTTAAAAATCACAAAAAAATTCCCAAGTAACCTACGTTAAAATGGAGTCAAAACATCATGGGTGATAGTATAATTCGAGAAATACTGCAAATGTCTGACTTTCTCGTAAGACTCTGAACAAATACTAATATTTAAAAATTTTATTTTTTCAAAAATTTGTCCGGTATTAAAGTATAATTTAAACCTCACTATTAGATAAATAAGGACTTCAACTATTAGAAAAAAATTTAATTTACTCATAATCTAATATTTTTTATTTTACATTGGCGGCGAAAGGACCTCCTTAAACGTGGTTAAGGTTATATTGTGCAAATGAAAATGTAAACAATCGAAGTACAGCGTTGCCAAATCACGGACAGATTACTTGCAGCTGTTTTGAAAGAGTCAAATTAATTTTTGTATTTAACTAATTTTTTTTTTATTTTCAAAATTTCAACGATTAATGCCTCATATACTATTTATTATTTAATTTTAGGAATTTTTATGGGTTTCTTTTTTTAATTTATCGTATATTGACTACTACAATTGTTTTGACTCAACTGGAGCGAAAGGATTTCCTTAAAAATTCTATTACTAATAGAAAATTTAATTGATCTATCAAAATTCCATTATTAATGGTAATCCATTAGAATTCTATTATTAATAGAAATTTTTATCAATGAATTAAAATTTCGTTATTAATAGAATTTTTCATTGATCCATTTAAATTCCATTATCAATAGAAAATTCTGTTATTAATAAAAAAATTCTATTAATCCATTGAAATTCTACTATTAACAGACAATATAATGAATCTATCAAATTTCCATTATTAATGGAAATTCATTAAAATTCCATTATTAATGGAAACTTATTTTAATTGATTAAAATTTTATTATATTATTAAAAATCTTTTTTTTCAATAAAAAATCCATTAATCTGTTAAAATTCTATTATTAATGGAAGCGTTCTATTATTCTATTAAAAATTTCATACTTAAAAAAAAAAAAAAAAAAATCATCTGTCAAAAAAAAATAAAAAATACTAACTGTAATTGTGGTAAAATTCCTGGATCAGCTGACGCTGGATTAACAGCAGACCCTGGAGTCATAACCGATCCAGGAGTCATGGGTCCAGTGGAGCCTATTCCTGGAGCTGGAGATCCAGTAGGAGCTAGATGGTTCGCTGGTTGCACTGCTGGCGACATCATGTGTTGCTAAAAATTACAAAATTCAATAATTAATTTTATTAAATAAATAATTAAAATAAAAATAAAGTAAGCCGACGTTTTTGATTTTTTTTTAATTAAATTAAAACAAAAAAATATTTTTTAAAAATTGCACTGACAGTTTTTAAAGTTTTTTACAAATGACAATTTTTTTTTTATAATTTTTATAAAAATAAAAGTACTCACTGGAGTCTGGGGTGTCATCATACTCTGAGGAGTAGCAAACGCTGGAGTAGGTGCATAAGTATGCATCGTCTTCTGCGGAGTAGACATGGGGAACATCCCGCTCCCCAGGTTGGGACTCATCGAGTGAAGCTGCTGGAGCGGGTACTGTGACTGCTGCGACGAAGACGGCTGTTGCTGCTGCTGCTGGAGCGCATTTGGAAGAATCTGCTGGTCTTCCTCTAGCTGGTGCAAAGGTGTCCCGATACTGGGGATCGAGAACCCTGGACTTGGCAGCATTTGATCCATTTTTGTTACTTAATATTTAGATTCTTTATTTATAAAAAAATATATTAATTTATTTAAATAAATTAATTTTAATTTTATTATTTTAGTGTCTATTTTTAAAAGCCGATTTAATTTTTTAGGTTAGTTTTGTAGTTCACTTAGTTTTTTACTCTCACTGATTATTACGAGTACATTATTGTTTTTTTAATAAAAACAAATTACTAATTATGAATTACATATTGTTTTATTGATAAACTTTTTTTATTTTTTAGTTTAATTTATTTAATTTGTTTTTTTTATTTTTATTGACAAACTCTGACGACCGCCAAACGTTATTTATTCAGACGCCATATTTGAACTACAGAGGGCGCCAAAATCAATTTTTATATTTTAGCGGGAAAATTTAAATTTCAAATTTTTTTTAATTAATTAAATAAAATAAATTTTTTTAAACAAATTATTAAAAAAATTTTAATAAAAAAAATGTCAATTGTAAATTAAATAAAAAAATTATTAAAAGTCAGCTGACTTAAAAATTATTTTAAATAATTATTAAATTTTTTCAGAGTTAATTTATTTCTAAAATAAAATAAATCTGCAAATTGAAATTGATATTTTTAAAAAAATTGACAATATAAATTTATAAAGATCTTAAAAACATATCATAGAGTTCAATAGAAGCTCTAGCAGATTTATAACAAAAAACATAGTCCGTAGGACTAGCAATATCATCAAGCGATACATAAAGTGGTTTTGTCGGGTCATACTGGTCACGTTTAAGCGCTTTGAGGAATAAATGTCGACTTTTAATTCTTTCTAGAGTAGTTCTTAGGATTATTGGCATCTGTGCGATGATGTCATGGGAAATCATCATTTCATTGTGGACATACTCGAAGGTTGGTAGTGTAAGTCTTCGTTCTGAAAAAATAAATTTTTTTAATTTTTTACATGTCAAATTTAAAAAAAAAAAATTTTTTTAAACATTTTTTGAAAAATAAAAAATTTAACCTGTTGTATAAACAGCTGGCTTGTTCAACAAGATAGCTTTCATCTCGCTAGGATAGAATCCCATTTGTTCCCTGACACTAAAGATATTCTCTCTCAACTGGTTACCTTTAAAAGTGATCAAAGCGGGCTTCCTTAAGGTAACGAATCTAACATAAAAATTAATTAACGGTATATTTCAATAATTTTATAAAAAATAATGACAAAAAAAATAAAAAAAGCAATTTTTTTTAAATAAATCAAAAAATTACAAAGTGACTGATAACTATGAAAATCAAGTTAACTGACATTTCAAAATTTTTAGAAATTTTTTTATCCAAAAAATTTCAATTAAACAATTAAAAAAAAAAAATATCACATGTTAAAAACTTGAAATACTATAAGTGCAATTTTTCAAAAGGTCTTTTTAGTTGTAATTTAATTAAAAAAAAAAAAAAAATCAAAAATTACTAGACGTCTGCTAACTTCAGTGTCATCTGATAACTTTATTATCATACCTAACTTGTTCTCCAGTGAGCTTAAACTCCCTCTGGAAAAACCCGAGCCTCTTGTCAATAAATTTAGTAGGAAAGCTGAGCCATGGAGGATGAGCTGTGACAATCCTTGCAATATTATCCCGGCTAAAATTATGAGCTCTGAGGTACCTGATCCGGGTCTTGAGGTCGTCCATATCTTGCTCGAAAATCCTTGGATTCTTGGTGATGAATCTGAAAATATTTGTAATTTTTTTTAATGAAAAAAAATTGATTAAAAAAAAATTTGAGTAGAAAATTAAAAAAATTTTAAGTGCAATTTTATAATGATTTAAAAAATTAAAAATTGTAAAATATCCGTTAACTTTATTGTCATTAATTTGTTCAAAAAAATTATTTTTAAAAAATTGCATTTTTAATTGATTAAAATTTTTTACATGTCAATTTTTTTTATTAAAAAAATTATTAAAATTATCTACCTGCCAATTTCTTCCGGAGGAACTCCGCAGTCGTGCAGAAACTGAATATAAGGCCTCAAATCCTCAAAATTTCTCTTTAAAATGCACGCCATGCTCTCTTGATTAGTTTCTATCCGCCACAGCTGAACCCCGAGTTTAACCAGCTCCTGAATAGTCGGCGACTGGTTTGCATAAGCCGCGAAATTGAACGTAGGCTTCAGCTCCGGCCCCAAGTAAGACAAGTCTTCTGTACTAGGGTCCAGCGCACTGGGGATCTTCATTTTGGAGACCACTTTATCAGATAGATATTCACTCTCATCAATCTCAGGGTACTCGACCAGGTTTATGTCAGTGGTCACCGGTTTGACAGTGTCAGTGTGATTTAATTCAAGTGAAGGTACCTAATTAAAGAAAAAAATTTGAAAAGATTCGAAATAGCTCAAAGTGATTAAAAACTTGAAAAATATACAGATATACATTTTACACGTGTACTTACAGCTGACAGGTTTCTTATTTGTAGTGACACTTGCTTTAAAGATGTCAATATTGACTTTAATTTTAAGTATGACAGGTTTTTTATACAAGCTGTCATTTTAATAATTTTTTTAAAAATTATTTTATAAACACAAACTTGTTAATTGTGACTTGTAGTGGTTTTTAGGTTATGGTGGATAGTACTGAAGTCAGCTGACGTTTGTAATTTTGTTTTTTTATATTCAATTAATTAATTATAACTAAAAAAAATATTTAAAAAAATTGCAATTTTCATGAAAATTAAAAATTTCTGTAATAAATATAAATTATGGCAAAAACAAATTAGAAAAAAAAATAACTTGTAGAAATTTAAAAAAAAAATTAAAAATGCAATTTTTTAAAAATAATTTTGTTAAATAAAATTTAATAATGTTCAAGTGACTGCTAACTTTAATGTCATGAAATTTTTTATATTTTTTTTGATAATTTTTTAAAATAATTTATAAAAATTTTTAAATGTCAGACTTTTATGGTGAACCTCTGTAGGTAAAATAGAAAATTTGAAAAATATATATGTATATACAAACCAAAAAATTATTTATTATTAAAATTACTTTTTATTAAGGACAAATTATGACAGGTAAGAAATTTTTTAATTTTTTAATGATATTACTAACAGCTGATTAAAAAAAAATTTTTTTTAATAATTTTATAGTGAAAAAAATAAAATAAAAAATCCAGATGTAAAAATTTGATGAAAAATTATAAACAATACACTTTGCAACGCTTGAATAAAATTATAAAATTTTAGACACTAAAATTATTTCTTATTTCTAAATAATAAAACTATAATTACCTTGAAATTCCCTCAACCATAAAATTCTAAGAAATCTTTGTTTATTACACTATCATAAATCTCAACAATAAGTTCGGTCCTAAACAAACAAACAAATTAATTCTCCATAACTGTGAACATACCTGAGTTCCCAAAATTTTACCCAGCCAATATTTTAAACACTAAAATTTCAACAAAAAAATTTCTATTAAATAATAAAATTTGACGCTCCAGATCCAAAACAAAAAAAAAAAAATAATTACCTTTTGAACAAACACACAATTCTTTCCCAAATACAATTGGCATTCTTACCAAAATAATAATAAAAATTCTTCAGGGACTTACTTTTAAACTCCAGACAATTATACTATTGTAAGTAATTTCTAAAAAAAATTTGGACACACATTATAATCTCAAACATGAATCATCAATAATAGTTTTGCATAAAAAATTTATAACTTACCTTGCAAAACTTCTTAATTTTATTTTCAACCTTAAAAAATAATTAAAAACTTATTAAATAATTCAAATATAAGCTCTTAAAATTTTAAACCAGGTATAATATTTTCAAAACTATATAAAGAGAGTTTTCATACCAATTTTTCAAAGTTAAGTGAGAAACAGTAGTGTAAAGACTAATTTAACCTAAAAAGTGTCTTAAAAAAATTATAATACTAAAATAAACCTTATAAAATGTCGAAAGAAGAATCTACAATTACAATAGAAAAAATAACCAAGTCTCTAGTGCAAAAACTCGAATCAAAAGGACTTTTAACAAACCTGAACGCCAATTTCAAGATGGTGGACCAGCCACTAATGAGCCCAACACTACTCGAAATCGCCATCTGGAACTGGGACGAGGAACTATTTAACTATTTAGTATCCCGCAAGGTGTCGCTAGAGGGAACAATTAATGGAACAGTTTTGCACTTAGCAGTGCATCGCTGCCAAATTAATGGAACTAATGGAACTAACCTGAATATTGCAAGAACATTAATTGCACTTGGAGTTCCAATAAATAGAAGAGAATGTTTATTTCATTGGACGCCATTACACCTCGCTTGTTACCAAGGGAAGCTCAAGATGGCGGAGCTGCTGATAGACTCTGGAGCGAACATCAACATCTCTAATATTTACAATATAAATAACCCGAAATTAAACTTAGGAAAGCGGCCGCTGCACGTCGCTGTTGAAGCCAACCAGGTGGCGCTAGTTGAACTTCTGTGCCGCAAGGGGGCGAATGTTAATGCGCAAGCGTTGGAGCATGGAACGCCATTGATCCACGCGGTGATGTTAGGAAGAATTGAAATTGTTAAGGCGTTAATCAAAGGGGGCGCTGATGTCAATAAATTGTCCAAGCAGTGTCACATTGTGACTGACCTGCTGAACTATCTTCCGGTGAAAGTGTTCCACCTAACTGCGCTCCACCTAGCGGTGATTAAATCTCAGCAGCACATGCTCAGATTTTTGCTGTTCCATCCAACGATTAACCTCAATTTGGTAATGAACAGCTTAACTCCACTTCATTTCGCGGTGAAGTATGATTCCGAAGCTTTGAAGCTGTTACTCTCCGCTGGCGCTGATGTCAACGTCAGAACTGCGAACTACAGGAACATAATTGAGTTCTGTGGTGATACGTGGGCTAAAGAGGGAGATACTGAAAAAAGAGACAGGGTTAGTAAATTAGTTGTAGAACACGCCGCTAAATTAAGTGTCGCTGGGTGTCATGTTCTTCCGGAGATTGCCGAGCGAAGTTGTCCCCAGTTCCTGGAACTTTGTAGGTTAGAAGTGGAACGGATGAAGAATATTAAGATCTGTGGAGGAACTTCGACTGTTGATAAGATTTTTGGGTGTACTCACAAGCTTGCGATGAATTTGGATAATAATGATTTTAAATACCTATTGGGAGAGGAGGTTAGAAATTCTTTTGAGATTTATGGAGATGTTCTGCAATGGCGGGCGGTGAGGATGTACTACAGGAGAAAGTTGCTGATTGGGAATAACTTTGATGCGGTTTTGAATTTTTTGCTTGAGATTGTGTTCCAAAAGTTGATTCCAAAGAGATTTGTGGAGAAGGTTCTGTCTTTTTTGAGCTATAGTGACTTGGTTGAGATTTTGAAAACTTGTAAAACTATTAATTAATCTAAAATTATTAATAATTAAGAAAATGTAACCGTAATTTTGATTGTGAAGTTAGCAGACAATTTTTTTTTAATTAATATTTGTGTTCAAGGTTCCAGTTCATTCTTACCGATAATTATGATAAGTATTTGGAAATGCTCTATCTGTAGATACATGAGAAATTACCTTGTATCTTGTGAAATATTGACATTTTTAAAGATATAAGCTCATCTTGACGTTACACTCAGCGAGACCTTTCATTTGAGTACCCACATCAATTTGTCATATATTTTATATATTTATATATATTATATATATGTATATATGAAAAATATATAAAAAATTGATGTGGGTACTCAAATAAAAGCTCTTGATAAGTGTAACACTATGATGAGCTTATATCATTAAAATATATATATTTATATACAGTCGAACCTGGATAAGCGAGAACTGGATAAATGAGAAAACTCTATAAGTGAGAGTAATAGCCAGGACCCGTCATTTTAAGCTCCCAAAACCTCTATTAGCGAGAAACAAAAACCTCTGTAAGAGAGAGTCGTTTTTCTCTCATGGACCTCCGTAAGTGAGACTGCTGCTTAACTATACCTCTATAAGCGACATTCGAGCTTTATTTCTTTATATTATTTAGGAGGAACTACAGCTACAATAAAAATACATACATACATAAAAAATACACACATACACACATATCCAATGAAGCTAGCTTTAAATGTAAATAAGCTAGCTTTAAGTGTAAATAAGTTCTAAATAAAATAAAATTATATAGTGCATGAATTTTTGTTTTGTTTTCGTAAGCATCTTGATACCTACTCTTTTAAAGTACTTATATGTCGAATGTGACTTGTTATTGCTGCGTACCTCTATAAGAGAGAAACGCTACCCATATACCTGCATTAGCGAGAAACTCGGGTTAGTGAGAAACCTCTATAAGCGAGAATGAGATTGTGCTCCCTTGAATTCTCGCTTATCCAGGTTCGACTGTATATGTATATATGAAAAATATATTAAAAATGCATGTGGGTACTCAAATGAAAGCTCTTGATGAGTGTAACATCAGGATGAGCTTATATCTTGAAAAATTTCAATATTTAATAAAACAAAATTTCAATTTTTTATAGTTCACAAATCGGGGCAGTCACATAGTGACTGCAAAGTTGCTTGTTAAAAAAATTTAAATTAATTTTTTAAAAAACTTTATAATTTAGTAAAAAAAACTGTCAGCTCACTTCAGTCTCATAAAATTTTGAATTATGTAAATAAATTCCACTAATGGAATTATTTTAAAAATCTTTTATTAAAATGCAAATAATTACATGAAAGTTTTTTAAAAGTCTATCCTAATTTACCTAGTTCTTGTTTCTTTTGTATCACGCGCACTGAGTGGTAGAGAAAAGTGTCTACAAACCCGGCGACTGTGAAGACTCCGCCGATTATCGCGCAAATGTTTGTCGCAAAGTGTCCGAAGGACTTTGTTTTCTCGGTGTACTTCACCATCAGTGGACTGAGCTCGTAGCTGAAGAACACACCGGGCATTCCCGACTCTCCGTTCATTCCGGAAATTTTTCGGGCGAGACGAGTGACAGAAAATTGGTTTGTTTGTAACTGGGCGCCATCACTCCGGTAGTAGGTGGTGGGGACTATTTTTATGTAGTGTTGGAACATCATTGCTCCTGTAATTTTAAATTAATTATATTGTAATATTTAGCTTTTATTTTATTTATTTTTTGTTATAAAATTTATATATTTAGAAATTTTTTTTTGACATGTAAAAAAATATTTTAAGGTTAAGTTTGATAAATTAAAATTTTAAAAATATTTTAGACATTTAATTAATAAAACACTTTAATTAAACGCCTTAATAAAAAATGAAAAAAAAAACTTTAATAAAAATTAACAAAGAAATTATTTATCAGCTGACTACAGTTTTGTAAATAATTAAAAAAAATTTGATGAAAATTAAGTTAGCTGACGTCTAAAAATTTTTAGAATTTTTTTTTATTGAAAAAAAATTTCACTTGTAAAAAACTTTAAAAATTGTAAGTGCAATTTTTAAAAAATATTTTTTTTGTTGTCATCTAATTATTAAAAAAAAATTAAAAACGTCGGCTAACTTTATTGTTATAAAAAAATTTGACAGCTGTCAGCTGACTTCAGTTTTATAAAAATATTTAAATATGGCGCGCGTATTTTTAAAATATCAATTCTCAACAATCGATACTGTAAAAATCGACTTCTCGAATAAAAGCAAAATGGCGACTATCTGAAATAACCTCCAAAATTTCATCACAAACTTTAATTGATTAAACCAAAAAATTATTTATTAAATAATTTAAAATAAAAAAATCTGAGTAAGTTAATTTTATTTATTTTATTAATTTCAATTAATTTAATTATTTAAGTAGTTTTTTAATTTAGTTTATTGAAAATTCATTTGGAGTTAAAATTTAAGACTGATAAATTTTATAATAATGTTTTTATTTATTAAATAATTTTTTTTTTAGATAAAAATGCCAGTACCTGTAGGAAATTATCAACAAGGTCCCTCATGTTGGGATAGAATGAAAATGGGTTTTGGTATTGGATTTTGTGTTGGCATGGCATCGGGTGCATTATTTGGAGGTTTTTCTGCTCTCAGGTAATTTTTTTTTTCTTAATTTTTATTTTTTTAATTTTATTTTCAAAAATTGAATTTTCAATTTTTTTTTAATTTTCTCCTAATTAATTTTTTTATTATAATTTATTTGTTGAAAAATTGACTAAATTAATTTTTTTTAATCATTAATTTTTATCATCAGTTCAAAGTTCATTAATTAATCTTCTTAAATATTTTTATTAAAAATTCTAAACATAGAAATTTTTTTAAAAATTAAATAATTGTATTTTTTCTGAGAATTTAAAATTTAATAATTTTTTTTTGACAGGTTTGGAATGAGAGGAAGAGAACTAGTACATAGTGTTGGAAAAACAATGATTCAAGGCGGTGGTACTTTTGGTACATTCATGGCCATCGGGACCGGTATTAGATGTTAAATTAATTTATTAATAAAATTACTTGTCATTATTTTTTTTTAAATGTTCATTAAATAAAAATTGATTTATTAGAGTACTGGTTAATTCGTTTGAGAATTAATAAAATAAATAAATAGTTGATAAATAAAAATAATTAGGTCTATAAATGACTTATTTTAAATATTAAAATGTTACCTTGGTCAGCTATCACAGTTGTATTGTCAATAGGATTTGATTTTCCGGGAATGTTGACTCCAAAACTCAAATGACGGATTTTATGAGTTAAATTAAATTGATTTGAAGCATATGGTTGGACATCATGAACTAAAATTATAAATAATTTAATAATAGATCATTAAAAAAATTTTTTTAAATATTGAAATCTTTTTTTTTTAATAAACATAATTACCATGTACATGATTTATTGAAAAACTATTCCCCGGTGATATATGAAAGCTACCACCAACTCGATTGACCTCCATAGATCCATAGATCTGACATCCTTCCTCAAAGGCGTTTTTAATACTATCCAGAGACCCGGAATTTTTACACTGCTCTATCGTCGACGGGTCTGGAAATGCCCATTGACGGATCAAGTATGCGTGTTTTACATCAGCACATGTATTACAGCACCTTAATGAATCAAAATGTAATTAATAAATAAAAAAATTAACAGTTACTATTATTAAAATTACTTCATAGTTACGTTATATTTTGAGCTTCATCTTCAGCACCGTAGCACGATCCACATGACGGTACAGTTGTCGTTTCCACAGTCTGGAAAATTTATTATTATTATTATTATTATTATTATTATTATTATTATTATTACTGTACTTTCTTAACTATTGACATTTTTAAAGATATAAGCTCATCCCGATGTTACACTCATCAAGAGCTTTCATTTGAGTACCCACATCAATTTTTCATATATTTTTTATATATACATGTATATAATATATAAATATATGAAATATATGAAAAATTGATGTGGGTATTCAAATGAAAGGTCTTAATGAGTGTAACATCAGGATGCGCTTATATCTTGAAAAATGTCAATATTTCTCAAGATACAAGGTAATTTCTTTATCATTGACATTTTTTAAGATATAAGCTTATCCCGACGTTACACTCATTAAGAGCATTCATTTGAATACCCACATGCATTTTTGATATATTTTTCATATCTACATATATATAAATATATAAAATATATGAAAAATTGATGTGATACTCAAATGAAAGGTCTTGATGAGTGTAACATCAGGATGAGCTCATATCTTGAAAAATGTCAATAGTTCACAAGATACAAGGTCATATCTCAATTATTGACATTTTTTAAGATATAAGCTCATCCCAATGTTACACTCATCAAGAGCTTTCATTTGAATACCCACATCAATTTTTCAGATATTTTACATATTTATATATTTTATATATATGTATATATGAAAAATATATCAAAAATGCATGTGGGTACTCAAATGAAAGCTCTCGATGAGTGTAATCTCGTGGTGAGCTTATATCTTAAAAAATGTCAATATTTTTCTTATTCTCTCAATAATATAGATTATTATTAAAATTATCATTATTATAATTACATTATTTTCTAATTTACGGTCGATTTTAGTATCCATTAAATCCGTCTTTTTAGGATCTTCAATTGGAGCACCCTCTAAATTTAATCTTCTTTTATAAATATTATGATCTATTTGCAAATGTTGCTCTCCTGTTGTGTCCATTGCATCCAATGATAATACTAATTAAAAAAAATTTTTTATTTATTAAATAAATGTAGAAAAAAAAAAATTATCAAGTAACTGAATAAAATTACTTACAATCACACGAAATTCTTGGTATAATAATATCTAAATTTATTTTTAACTTAGATCCTCTGGAAGTGTCAACAAATAATTCTTCATCTAAACTTGGAGTTAAAAAATCTCTTAATTCAGAAATAAATAACATTACCATTATTACGGTACTAATTATTGTCACTGAAAAATAAAAAAAATTTTAATTATTAATAATTAATTAAATAAATAAATTAAAAAATAAAATAAATACCTATTGCACCGCTAAAAGTCTTAACCCTAAAATCTTCAAGTGTCTTTGGATAAGCATCGAATCTTCTTAACACTTCAGCAAAATGCATGATTATTTTTAAAAATAATTCTTCAAACAATTTTTTTCTTCCAATAATTTTTAATACTTTGCCACGTGAATAAATAAAATAATAAAAAACCTTATTTGCTGATTAGACACTTGTGCATTATGGCATTATTGTTTATTATTACTGTCAGCTGTCAGTACCGACACGTAGCACGCATGCGCAGATTCTTTTTCTTTCCTCGAATGACATTCCGCCATTTTTAGGTTAGATTATAATTATTTCAGGTAAGTTCAATAAAAAAAAATTATTTTTTTTTTACTACAATTTTATTTAATTATTTTTTTTACATTTTTATTATAAAAAGTATCTAAATTGAGACACTTTATGGTTTATTATCATTTATCAGTATTTTACTATTCTAGTTTCAAATAATAAAAAATTCAATTGAACACAAAAAACAATAATAAAAATAAAAACAATTCTTATCAGTAAATGGACGGCATTTTTAATAATCTTTTTTTTTTTAACAAAATTTTACTATTTAAAATAATTATTTTAAACAGGGTTGCAAATTTTTTTTTAAAATAAAACATTAAACTGAAGTCAGCTGACAGCTGTCACTTTTTTTTTAAAATTTGCTTTAAAAAATTTTCACTTAGAATTTTTTTAATAATTTAATTTTAAAGAAATAATAAAACATAGAACTGAAGTCAGCTGTCACTTTTTTTTTTAATTTTATAAGTAATTAATTAAAAATAATTTTTTAAAAAATTTTTACTTGCTTTTTTTTTTTTTTAATTTTAACATTTAGAATTTTTTTTTTAATAATTTAATTACTAAAAAATTTTTAATGTCAGTTAACTTTAGTGAATTTGTAAATATTTATAACAAATAAATTAAAAAATTATAATAATAATTTTTTGATATTTAAAAATGGAATTATTTTAAAAATAAATTATTGTAAATGAAAAAAGTTTAACAATGATTAAAATTTTATAAATAATTTATAAAAGAAAATGAAGGTGATTTAAAAAAAAAAATCAATAAAAACAATTTAGATAAAAAAAATAAAATTTTTTGCAACCCTGACCCGAAAAGTAAGTAAAAAAAAATTTAATAAATCCAATTGACAGGTACCCATTGATGCTCAGTAGCCAGTGCGTCAAGAGCAGCGACCACCTGTCGGAAAGTATTGTCGAAATCTTCGTTTACAATTACGAGGTCGATGTACTTTTCATAGGCTCGTTGTAAGGCCGCTGATTCCTCTAGCGTCGATCTAAGGTCATCTTCCTAAAAATAAATAATTAAAATTTAACAATTTAAAAAAAAACTTCTAATAAATTAAAAGAATGAATGAAAAAAAATTAATTAAAAAATGGAGCATGCCAATACAAACCTCGTACAATGACGCGAGAGATTCTAGAGTCCTAGCACGCCGGGAACTGTATCGTATGGAACTTTGACGATCAAACTACTCACATACATAAAAATAAATACAGGAATTATTACAAGCAACTAAAAAATTAAATAATAAAATTTTTTTGTCAGCTAATTTAATTTTTATAAAAATTGAACTTGAATAGTCTAAATAAAATTGAAAACATCTACATGCCGCTACATAACTCTGCTAGCGATGATTTTTTTTTTTTTTTTTTTTGGAAAACTCACGGTCAAATTCCGACTGCTAGCACCTGTGGATCTTCCATGGTCGTAGAGTGTCTTCAGCTGCTCCATTCCTGGAGCAGCGATGAAAATAACGTAGGGCATGAACTCCGTGCTGTTGTGGAGAGTTTTTAGAGCACCTGGACTGCAATCTAGCACACACATTTTTCCAGCACGGATCAACTCACGCACAGAATCCAGCTTTGTGCCGTAAAGATGGCTACCGTACTCGCCAAACTCTAGGTAGCGGTGCTGCTTGATGTCGTTTTCCATTGAGTCGCGGTCCGTGAACCAGTAGCTCTTGCCGTTTTCTTCCAAGACTCTCGGAGGTCGAGAAGTATCTGATAATAATAAATTTCTTATTAATAATAATTAAAAAAATTTTTTTTATATTCATGACGAGTTTGGGGACTTTTAAAAAAAATATTGAAAATAATAGTGCTATTAGATTAATTAAAAACAATTTAATGGACAAATATGATAGAACAAATTTATAGAACTAACTATTAAAAACTCCGTCAACTTAACATAATAAATTGACGAAATATTATATATTAAAACTAAAAGGCACTAATTCTTGAGAACTATTGACATTTTTAAAGATATAAGCTCACCCGGATGTTACATTCATCGAGACCTTTCATTTGAGTACCCACATGGCATTTTGATATATTTTTCATATATTTATATATATTATATATATGAATATATGAAAAATATATCAAAAATGCATGTAGGTATTTAAATGAAAGCTCTTGATGAGTATATAATATCAGGATGAGTTTATACCTTAAAAAATGTCAATTATTAAGAAATTACCTTGTATCTTGTGAACTATTGACATTTTTCAAGATATAAGCTCATTCCGATGTTACACTTATCAAGACCTTTCATTTGAGTACCTACATCAATTTTTTATATATTTATATATATATTATATATATGTATATATGAAAAATATATCAAAAATGCATGTGGGTACTCAAATGAAAGCTCTTGATGAGTGTAACATCGGGATGAGCTTATTAGTCTAGTCAATTTTTTTTTCATCTTATTTTGTTAATAACAATTGCAATTTTTTACCTGCACCAAAATCCTTCAAAAACATTTTTCTAGAGGTGATTCCGAATCGAATGAGCCATCGCTCATATTTTTAGGACCTTTATCTCTATTTTTCACGTTTTTGAACTTGTTGACTAGACTATTAACTACTTTATTTTTAATTTTCAAAATTTTACCGATTAATTCCTCATATACTATTTATTTTTTAATTTTAACAATTTTTATGGGTTTTTTATTTTAATTTATCGAATATTAAGCGAAAGGACCTCCTTAATAAAATTTTCTCTAAAAATTTTTTAAATAATGAAATTAATCTAAAATACTTACAAGGAACAATAGTCCCAAATTTCTCAGGATCGCTGTTAATCAACCTATTTTTAAGAGTCCTTCTGCCGACACCTCTAGGCCCAACAAGTGCCAGAGTCTTGCGGCGGAAAGGAGGCATCCTGGCGACCTCTTCATAAAGCAAAAGCTCAGCACTGTCAAACTCGCCATTGGACTTGGACTCGTACATTTTGCGCTTCTTCTTGCGAGAAACTCTGGTGCCGCAGATCCCGATCTTGTGGACAAAGTCCGCTTCTGGAGGAACGAAGGCTTTGCGGCGTTCCTCGAGCTCCAAGGAGGGAATCAGTCCTGGATTGCCGAGGCCTTCACCTTCTACCCGGCGAGCTTGCCACCAGTTCGGGTCAGCCTGGTCCACTATTTGCAAAATGTCGCCGCGCGAAAATGGAAGTCCTATTTCACGACAGGGTAGCAGAGTGTCTTCTGATGGGTCGTAGTCGAAAAGTGCTCGCATGTAGCACTAAAAAAATATTAAATAATAATTTTAGAATAAATAAAAAATTATCTTTAAATTTTTTTCAAAAATATTAAATAATATTTTTTATTAAAATAAAATAATTACTTACAGTTGACTTCATAGGCTTGTTATTAACGTCGCTTGAAATTCCAGGATGCACTTTTAAGGATAAATTTTCCTTAGCAGCCTGGATAGCTTGCTGTAACTCATCAGCAGAGTGCACTGGTCTATTGTTGACCTCCATGATAACATCGCCAGGATTAAGTAATCCTTGTCTTGATACTGTACTGCCTCCCAAAATTCGGGCGATTATTAGATTTCCTCTTTCATCTACTTGGACTGTAAGACCCTGGAAATTTTTTAATTAATTTATTATATATTTATAATGATGAATTTTGTTAAATTGCACTGTACTTTCTTGACTATTGACGATTTTAAAGATATAAGCTCACCCTGATGTTACACTCATGAAGAGCTTTCATTTGAGTACCCACATGCATTTTTATATATTTCTCATATATACATATATGTAATATATATTTTAAAGATATAAGCTCATCTTGATGTTACACTCATCAAGAGCTTTCATTTGAGTACCCACATGGATTTTTGATATATTTTTCATATATACATATATATATATAATATATATAAATATATGAAAAATTGATGTGGGTACTCAAATGAAAGGTCTTGATGAGTGTAACATCGGGATGAGCTTATATCTTTAAAAATGTCAATTGTTCACAAGATTCAAGTTCATTTCTTAATTATGTATCTAGAGATAAGGAATTTTCGAATGCAGCCTAAATACTTTTCATAATAAATTAATTTACCAGTGGTTCATTTTGAGGACGACGTAGACCAATAACTCTAACAGTGTCTGACCTATCGTAGCTCGGCATTTTTATAATCTCTGAAGAAACAGGTACAACTGGAGTTTTTCGAGCAATTACAACTTTGTCATGCGTCTCCAAAAGAGCTTTCACGTGAGGTTTCTTCAAAATACGCGACAATTCTCGCGCTTCGTAGTCCAAAGAAGTTTCAAAAATGTAAGATATTTCTTCAGCTTCTTCACTTATGTTCGGACAAATAGGCTCGATTCGCTTTGGAGGTTCTTCTAGTCTTTCTTGTAACTGAAAAAAATAAATTTTATTATTTTATATTCAATTATTAACATTTTTTTTTATTATTAAATTTTTTAACACGTGTTTTTTTTATTTTTCAAAATTAATTCAATTTTTTTTATCAAAATTTGACACTTAAAAATTTTTTAATAATAAATTAAAGTCAAAAAAATAATATTCAAAATTTTTTAAAAAAATTTATTGATAATTTTTTATTTTTAAAATAAATTTTTGTAATAATTTATTACTCAAAAAATTTATAAAAAACATTAAAAAAAAAAAACTTAGAAAATTTTAAGACCTGTCACTTTTACTACAATTTTTTATCACTCCACAATAACAATAATATTATTCTAAACGTTAAAAATAAATTTAAAAAACTTAAAATTAAATCTATTAATTCCAAGTGGGAGTTAAATATCAGTGATGTAAGTTAGTTAGTCATCATTTAACAATTACAATACTGAGCACGGTCATTTGTGTATATAATAACAACATTTTTTTTATAAACTTAAAAAATTGCACAATTTATTTCTTCTTCAATAAAACTTCACTGCACTTTTAAAAAAACAATTAAAAAAAAAAATTACTAAAAGATTTTTGATAAAATAAATAATAAGGCACACCTATACATTACCTAGTTACACGTTACCCATAATAACACAAAACTTTCATTTTTATTAAATTCTTCTTTAATTATTTTAAAAATAAATTAACAAATATTATTATTATTATTATTAATATTGTTTATAAAATAAATAGAGCAAATAAATATAAATTTATAAAATAAAAAGACACCAAGGAAAATTAAAGTGTTTTTTACGTAAAAGTGTATATAAACCGTCACGGAGAGTCACGAAGCCACGAAGCCGCGCCTAAACCCGCCGCCTTTCTCTCTTTAATGCTCAAATGCTTCGATAGTGACTTTACTGTAGCTTAGCCGCGACTATACGTAAGATTGCGTGTGTGTGTACAATATAGAGCATGAGTTTATTGTGTTAATGCTTTAGTGTGTTTTTTTAGTCTTCATTTTATGCTCGAGCTACTAACTACTAACAGGTGGGGGACATTCTCTTCTGGCATGCGTTTATTATGTCGTTGTGATATTAATTATATAAAAAACCAGGGACGGAATTATTTTTTTTTATTTATTCAAACAATTGAAATTTTTTAAATATTTTTATTATAATATTGAAGTTAGCTATAATAATAAAGTTAGCCGCCATTTTTTATTTTTTTAATTTATTAAATTAGAATGAAAATGAAGTTAACTGACATTTCAAAATTTTTATATTGAAAAAATTTCAATTAAACAATTAAAAAAAAAAATTGTCACATGTAAAAAATTTGAAAAACTATAAGTGTAATTTTTTAGAAATGTCTTTTTAGTTGTAATTTAATATTAATAAGAAAAATCAAAAATTTTTAGATAATACTGAAGTTAGCCGACGTTTTTAATTTTTTGATTTTTTTTTAATAATTAAATTAGAACAAAAAATTATTTTTTAAAAATTACACAGACAGTTTTTAAAGTTGTTTATAAATGAAATTTCTTTTTTAATTTTTTTGTCGTCATTTTAATTAATAAAAAAAATTATAAACATTTTTGAATGTCGGCTAACTTTATTGTAATAAGTTTTAGCTGCTGTAAATTTTTTAAATTCTTATAACAAGTCAATGACAAATGACAATACCAAAAGTGCTTCTAAAAATTTTCACTGGTAATTTTCTTTATTTTATAAATGTGGAATTTTTTTTTTTAATTTATTTTACAATTTAATTGTTATAAAATTTCTAATGTCTGTCATCAACTTTACTGGTATTTTTTATAAGCGAAATTTTCTGACAGTTGATTTTAGATTTTTATTTAATAAGTGAATTACAGTACTAAAAAATTAAACTTAATTAAATTAATAAAAAAAATTTTAATTATTACTGACCAAAATAAAATAATCTAGTGTCTAGGTCATACAATACGTCACAGTTAAATAATATTAATTAAACTCAAGTGTGTACTATGTACTTCATAAATAAACTGAATGACTAATAAAAGATAATTAAACAAAGATAGAGCCAATAAAAAAAATTAACTGTGCTATGTATTTAAAATTTAATTATATATTTATGTCAATAATTAAAATATTTCAATAATAATAATGTTAATAATAATAATAATAATAAATTATTGCTCTAAATTTTATTATTAATTAATTTTTTTAGAAAAGAAGCTATTGAAGATAAAAATTGAGTAAAAGCAAAAATGAAGATCATTTTTTTACAAGGAATTAAAAAAAATAAAAAAGAAATAAAGAAAATAAAGGCAGTAATTGCACTAAGTAATTATTTCACTGAAAAAAAAAAATGAAGGTTAGTTAAAACTAAGGAAGAAATAAAAGATTAAATAAAACTTACCCTAACAAGTGAATTAACAATAGGACTATCCAACAATCCTTTAAGAAACAACAAATCCGTGTCTTCGGCGACTTTCCCGAGTTCCTGGATATTCTCTCTGACGTGCATGAAGGCAGCTGGAAATACCATAACGTTATTGGCATTGTGAATCTCTAAAACCTCGGCTCTGACACTGAGAACTTGGAGCGAGCTGAGAGGGGGTTGATGCGCAATGTCTGGACTAGGGGGTTCATGCCGCAGGGGATGCAATCGCGGGCGTGGTAAGTTTAGATCAATAATTTGCTTCTACAGGTGTTGGGTACTTTAAGATTTACTTTTAAAATTATTTAACAAAAATAGAAATCAGAAATTCACTTTTTAGTCTACAAAATAAGATTATTAATTAAATTAAATAGTATTTTATTTTTATTTATACTTAGTTCTGGAACGCGCCGCTAGGCGGCGCGTTTTCTCGCATGTGCTTTGGTAAAAAAGAAGTATATATAAGGAAAATTTTTTTTTAGTTAAAATTACCATTTTCTGCATGATTTATTATTCTTTCATTCATCTCGTCGATACTTTCAAGCAATCGGCGAGTAACATTTTTATTTTTCTTCCCAAAAATCACCATTTTAAATAAAAAATTCACTTTTATCACACAGATAAATTTTTTCAAGTTAGAACAGGACAGTAGAACAGACGGAAAGTGTCTGCTGTTGTAGAATTCACTGGCTAGGGTTATAAGAAGGGATCATTGGTTTTAATTTTTAATAAAAACACTATTTAGAAAAATTGTACAAGTATTCTATTTAAAAATAATTTTTACAGACTGGTTCTGAAGAAGTTAACCGCAAGAGTATCAGTTTAAAACTACTTTCCTCTTGGCACTTGTCAGGAGTGTGTAAATTAACTTACATGCTATTAAAATAAAAAGTCCAGTGACCTGCTTAATAATTATTTATAACTTTAGGGACTTTTTATTTTAAATAAATATTTGTTAATTGTTAACAAATATTTATTTAAAATAAAAAAGCAATTTTCTCTTGACACTTTTTAGAATCTTATAGGGTAAAATACCCCATTACTGACACTTTATTTGATTTTGGTACTTCAATTAATTAAATTATTAATTTCTATTATGAATATATTATTTCTAATCTTTGAGTCCTTTAGACCAAAAAAATTTTAATTTTTATTCTAAGAACATTTTTTCATTGAAATAAAAAGTGGAATATATGATAATAATTAAATTAACCTTTTGAATATTTAAAAATATAGAATTTGGTATTTTATAAAAAAAAAAAAATTTGACATAAACTATTTTAGATAAGTTTCTCAAACCTAAAAAAGGCACTAATTCAGATCACCTTTCTAACTAAACTTAATAAATACACCTACAAAATTTTTGTTATTTTCTAAATAATATATATTTTACCTGTATCGCGTAAATTATACCGTTGAATTTTGCAAAAACACGCGCAAGGTTCACAGCTCTTCATTTTAATCTAAACTAACATAACTCCGCTTCCTTGAGCTCTATTCAATCGATCAAACTCTCACGTGGTAATTCCACCTACACCCGCAATTTAAATCGATCTCATCAAACCTTGAACTGCATTAATGAAATGCAATTACTCTCCTATTGTAAAGAAAGTCTATAAAAAAATAATCTCTTTTTGAATTTTTGAATTTGCCGCGCTTGGTATTAGCCGCCATTTTGTGGTGCGGGAATTGCAGCCGCCATTTTGTCGAATACTATCAAAAATCTGTTTTTTAAAGATTTCTGATGAATTAGCCTTTTATATTGTAAATCAATTTTATGCAAAAAAAAACTTGACCAATTATATTATAAGTCAATATTATTGTTTTCTAAAACAAAATTTAAATAAAAAATTCCACTAGTTTTAAAAATTAAACTACCTCACGTGGATTTAAATAAAAAACTGCAATTAAATTTTAAAACAATATATTATCCGGCATTTTAACAAAGTACGCAATTTTATCTTCAGCAACGCGATAATTATGGATCCACCTGGATCCTTTCCTCAAGCTACCATCAATGCCGTCCCTCCAGACCCCAGAAGGAAGATAAACTTCCCTCTGCCTGCTCCCAGAGTACAAAATCGGTGCTACAATAAGCTCTTCCCCCACAGAGAACTCATCAACGACAACATGGCAAGCAGAGTCCATGGGATCAAGCATCCAGAGCGGTCTGATGATGGGCAACCCAGAACTGAGAGTTTCATTGGCGTATTTCTTCAACAACGGGGTCACCGTCTTCTGCCTGAGCGTGGTCAAGGACTTGGCCATCTCCAGGACACTCTCATCATCATACTTGCTAGGTAAGTGGGTAAATCTAATCACAGGAAGAAAAGTGGACAGTTGGAGCCACCTTACATACAATTCTTTATCAGGAAGGTTCACTTCGTTGTCGTTATTCGGGTTGTTGTCGGACATAGGGAGCGCTACATCTCCTCCGACTGCTCCGGGCATGATAAAAGGGAACCCGATCATCCCGTAGCTTAAGATTGTGGGAATTACTGTCTTAATTGCCTTCCAGCTGGACGGAAAGGGTGGAAGACTCACAAATACTGGAGCTTTAGGCCGCGAAATCGCTCCAGAGACTCCCAGGACTGGAATTGAGCTTACAATCGCTTTTGTAAAGAGCGTTTTGTAGTGGTCCGGGTTTGTTAAGGGTTGGTCGCATTTGTAGTAGTGAGGCATGTCGTGCGCTGTTCCTAGGTCCAGGTAGAAAGAATGGATGTGGTACTTGGTCTTCAGGTCCTCTAGTTTCTTTAGTAACCAGGGAAGCGTCTTGTTGTTGGTTATGTCCAGCACTCCTGCGCTGTTGCTCTTGTGGTACCTCGTTAATGCTGGAATTCGCGGGTCGCTTCCGCGTTCTGATATTAGGAGCCGGTTTTCTATCGCGTCTTTGAAGTTTACAGACTCTGTTGAGATGAAGGGTTGAATTGAGAAGACTACCTGGGGGTTAAAAAATTTTTGGTATGAAAATTTGGAGTTTCTTTGGCATGATTAATGTAATTTAGTTTTATAGTGTAGAAATAAGAAATTGATTTTTTATGGTGGAAAAATTTTGCATGAAAATTAATTTAGATATTTAATAATTTTTTTAACGAATTATGACAGAACTAATAAAAAATTGACGTGAATAAATTGTAAAACATAAAGAATGCAAATTTAAAAAAAAAGGCCATTCGGCAGCCGAAATGGAAGTAGATTTCATGATGAATAAAAAAAATACTACTAGGGTTGTATACGAAAAAAAAATAAATTTCTGTTACATTAAACAACAATGACGTCAAAACGAATGCAAAAGTAAAATTTCATTAAATCTGTCTGAGTAAGTAGGTATAATTTTTTGCCTAGACTGATAATAAGGCACACAAATTTAAAGCTTATTTGATAAGCTATCAGATGGTATTTATAGAATTTTGATAAGATATCGCGTTCAATTGTAATTGAACGGATATAAGGTAAAAGTGAAAATTTTTTGCGATTTTTGAAAATTTTTGAAGTGCTCTCATTTCTAAACTAATTGACAAATTTGGCTCATCTTAGAACTTAACCTCGGAAATCGTCCTATAAGAATAAGTACGTTTTATTGAGATCGGTATAGAATTACGGGAGTTAGAGAAGAGACAATGCCGATTATATCGTATATATAAATACATACATATATAAACGAACCATATGCATTTTCTGAATCCGCTTGACGAGCTGAGTCAAAACGTAGCAAAATTTTTCAAAAGTTCCGTCATGAGGACCAATGCAATAGTTAGATTTCTATGAAATCTACTAAAAATTATTTGTTAAAGAAAATTAAAGAATGGTTCAGTGACTGCTATCTAATAGTATATATATATATATATATATATATATATATATATATATATATATAATAATCATAAGAAATGAATTAAATGAAAGTTTTGAAGATTACTTTTAGATATATTTTATGGTACTTTATGAACGCAGCTATGTAAAAATAAAAATTCAAAATTTTTTCTAAGTTAGTAAGCCAATCAACTCTTTAGCGTAGAATCCTTGTAGAGGATGTGGAAACGAATCGATTGGTACTTAACAATCATTTGAAATAAATTAATCGAAAGTTTTAAAGCCTAAACTAGTTTAAAATCACGATTTTACTGTTTGAAATGGTAATTTTTAGCAGTTGATCATTACTTATTACGTATCGACTATTATTTATTACAGTTTACTTTTTTCCGTGTAGTTAAAATTGCTTACCTGGAACCCACGACGCCGGATGATATTGATAGTCTCCTCCATGGAGGGAAATCGATCTTCATCCAGCACAAAATCCCCCGGACTTTTCTGCCACTCTTCACTCAGCAGAACATGGCCCTGCCTTAAAAACCCAAGAGCGATAACATCCTCAGTGTAATTATAAATTGCGGCTTCGTTAGTCGGGGAAATTTGCCAGATCGGTTCGGAGAGCAAGACATCAACAGCCTGGAGCTCTTCTGGCTTGAGTCCGTCCCAGAGCGACTTTTCAGCCATTAAAGAGTGAAGGTTCTTGATATTATCCGCCGCGCAAATAGTATAATTAAGCTGCGGCAGCGGGGTAAGATGGTTAATGTAAGCAAACGCGTCGTGCTTTGCCTGGAGGCAGAATTCTTTGGTCCGGTTCGCATTAATTGAAATGTAAAGCGGCGATTCCGGGTCGACGATTATCGTCGCGCCTTTTGAGTTCAAGAAGTACCTTTTAAGCACGTTTCCAAACGGGTTCCTTCTGATGTCCCCGGTGACGAAGGCAGAAAGCTCGAGCTTTCCTGAATCAAGTGGATAAGCCATGTTCTGGATCTGGCCGCCGCCGTACCAATGGCCGCGGCGCAGCGACCAGTCAAAACAGTCTGTAGGGTTGAACTGAGGGTTCAAACTCTGCCAGGTCAGGTGGTAGCAGTGCATAGACTCCCGCTTGCTGTGGGATAAGTACAATCTGGAGTAGTGCAGCCATTCTAAGCAAACTGAGTCGGACTTTTGGTCGTTGGGGAGACATGGGAACACTCCAGTGTCTTCTGGAATTCCGTTGCCTAATTTTCCGGAGACTGTTTCGGCGCCTGTGCTGCTGTACACGTGCAGAACTCGCTGGTTTTTGTTGAACCTGGTATTTTTATTTTTTTAATTAATAACTAAAATGTTTCTTTATTAAATTGCACTGTACTTTCTTAAATATTGACGGGTTTAAAGGTATAAGCTCATCCTGATGTTCGACTCTTCAAGAGCTTTCATTTGAGTACCCACATGCATTTTTGATATATTTTTCATCTATACATATATATAATGTATATAAATATATAAAATATATGAAAAATTGATGTAAGTACTCAAATGAAAGGTCTCGATGAGTGTAACATCGGGATGAGCTTATATCTTTAAAAATGTCAATAGTTCACAAGATACAAGGTCTTTACTAAATAATGACTTTTGTTAAATTGCAGTGTACTTTCTTAATTATTGATAATTTTAAAGATATAAGCGCATCTCGATGTTGCACTCGTCAAGAGCTTTCATTTGAGTACCCACATGCATTTTGATATATTTTTCATATATACATATATATAAATATATAAAATATATGAAAAATTGATGTGGGTACTCAAATGAAAGGTCTCAATGAGCGTAACATCGGGGTGAGCTTATATCTAAAAAATGTCAATAGCTCTCAAGATACAAGACCATTTATTAATTACGTATCTAGAAATATTAAAGCATTTACGAATTTTTTTGCAAAATTCTTTCTATTATAATTTAATTGCTATAAAAATTAAGAAAAAAAATTTTAAATGTTCAATTTTTTAGAGAAAATAAATTACCTGAATTTTTCAAAGTAAGCTCGTTGAAGAACATTTTGCGTGTAGTATATATGTGCAAAGCCCACCAAGAATATCACGCATAGAAATAAAAATCCTACGAATGCTCTTAATCTGAAAAAATTTACAAAATTTTTAATTAAATTACATTTTTTAGTACTTGTGTTTCAGCACACACACTTTGTTCGTTGCGCCAACACTCACTATTTGGGATTCCCCGACTTATTTACCTAGTAAGATTTATTCTCACCAGATGGCGTTGAATTTTTTTAAAATGATAATTTTAAAAAAATTCAACAAGTCTCAAAATTTCTTTTAAAAATTTTAAAATGAAATTTAAATTAATAATTAAATTATTGAAAAAAAAAATCACCTGTAATCATCATTCTGTCTTTTTTTATTACTGCGTAGCGCCTGAGGTATAGACAACTGAAGTTTTTCCTTAAGCAAGCTACTGATGCTGTTGACACTGGTGATCGTAGAATTTGGAGTCTGTATATCCGCAATATCAACTCCAGCATCGAGTTTTTGGTTCATAACTGCAATTTTACTTTTCCGTCTCGGCGGCGCCTGCAAAGGGACCCTGAAAAAAAAAAAAAAAAAACATTTATTGGAACAAATAAGAAAAAAAAAAAAATTAGTCACTGGAAGTATTAAATAAAAAATTTATTACACCTTTGTAGCGATACCGCGCTACCGACGTCGTATCTCGGTAGCATTTTAATTAAATAGTAATAAGTGTTTTAGATGCGAATTTCCGACAACTAGTTCTTGAGTTTAACTTGAACTGAATATAGACAAGTGTCCTTGTAAGTTAAGAGTAAATAATAATTATTAAAAAGCCATGTAAAAATGACCTGATAACCCTGAAGTGATATAGTGTTTGGACTTATCACCATTTCTCAAGATGCTCATTATAATAATATAAATCTAAATATGTGTGTGTAAGATGACACACTTGTTGCTGTCTGAGTGTATTTACATAATTGTCGCGAGCAAGTAAGGTAATTTGTATCGATGAGAATGTGATTAATGTTATTGCTTACCGCTAGATTTTTTGGTGAGAAATTATTTTTTTCAAGTGCTCTCTGCAGCAAGGGAACCTTCAGACTGTGATAATTCAAAGTTTTAAACTGTGTTGGGTAAATATTTAGATTGCTGATCTAAGATGTTTAGATAATGACACATGAGAGTGTAATTAAAGAGATTTTATCTGTTTTAAGCGGTGCTTTCATCACAGCTGATATTTTTATTTTTTTATACTATAAAAATTTAGCAAGGTTACATTTTTAAAAATAATTATTCAAAAATTTATTTCTTCAATCAAATTTGTTTTTTTTTTTTATTATAACTTCTTAATAAATTCTTTTTCACTTAAAAATTTTAAAGTAAACAGTCACTTGGTTATTTTTTAATTTTATTTAATAAATTTGTTCCAAAAAATTATTTAAAAAAAATTTATAACTTAAATTTCATTTTTAATTTTTTTTTAAATTTTTACATGTTATTTTTTTGTCATAATTTATTTGTTAAAAAAATTCTATCTGATAAATTAATTAATGACATTAAAATTAGCAGTCACTTAACAATTTTTTAATTTTATTTATCAAAAAAATTTATTCCAAAAAATTATTTTTAAAAAATTGCATTTTTCATTTTTTTAAATTTCTACTTGTCAATTTTTTTTTGTAATTTTTTTTCTCATAATTTACTTGTTATAGAATTTTTAAAATTGTTAAATATATGCTAAATTAATTTTCATAATTAATTATCATGAAATGTTAAAAATATTTTTTATAATAAATATCAGCTGTCAGCTATAATATCAAAAATTACTAAAATAATATTAATAAAAACTTACTTAGCCAAATCTTCATGATGTTCATCATCAGTTTCTGATCCAAAACTTCCACTTGGAGTAGAACCACTGTTACTGAATGTAACACTACTCTCACTATCACTCAGTGTGTATTTACTTGTCATTTCACTAACAATTCACAAAATTTGAAACACTTTTAAATTTTCATTTTTTTTTTACAAAATAAATAACTTGTTTTTTTTTTTTTTCAGAATGAGATGCGTGATTCAGAAGACAACTATCAACTTAAACTACGGATGCGGATGATCAGAGAGAGACAACATTATTGGATAATATGTCAGTAGCGAGTGGGAGCTAATGAATTACTTCTTGTTACATTACAATCATTATTTTCTTCATATATGTTATCCATCATTAGTTTCATTGTTTTGCGGTAAGTTATTTTTATCTTTAGAATATTGTTATTGTTTTAATTGGAATAAAAAAACATTTAGATTTTTTTTTATTACTTAACATAATTTTCAAATTTTTTTTTTAAATTATACTTTTTATTTATTTATATTTTTTAAAATAATATCTTATTTTGACAGTTTTAAAAGTGTTTACATTATATGTAATTTATTTAATTTTTTTTATTCAACTATTGTTGTTTAACAATAAAAAAAACAATTATTTTCATTAATAAAAAAATAAAAAAATAAATTGTGTCAGCTGTCAAATTACATCTAATAAAATTATGATTTAATTTTCATTCGTTAGAAAGTTTCAAGGTCTTTTGAATTTAACTTTGTGACTTACCGCTGCCTGGTGGGCATTTTAGTAACTACTTTATATTGATCGACATTATCTGAATTTCTAACCAAAAACAAAAGAGCGTCTTGATAGTTGTGATCAGTCTTATTTATTACTTTACATTCTTAATTGTATTAATACTAATTACTGATAATAAATTGACTTTCAGACTTTATTAGAACTGAAATAAAAAAAAACCTTGACTTGTTGTTGTCAAAATGGGAGATATTAAATCATTTTTGCATCAATGGTGCACTAAAAATGGCAAGGAGCCTCAGTTTGATGTCAGACCTACGGGTAAAATAAATTTTTAAATTATGTTACTGGAATATCATAAAATTAGCTGCTCAAGCGGCACAAATTTTTTTTTGTTAATATTTTGTTAAATTTAAGTTGACAATTATAAATTTCTGACTTCTTGTTAAATAAAATCTCCTAAAAAGTTAACATTTTTTTTTGTGACGCTTGGGTGATATTTAATTATTTTTTTAAATATTGAATTGAAGTTGAAAAATATTTTAAAAAAATGTTTGACAAATTAAGTTTTTTATTTTAACAAAAAAATAAATTATAAAAATTTATAAATGTTAGCTAACTTAATTTTCATTCAAATTTTTTTATGATACCGAAATCAACTGACAAATTTATTAAAAATTAAAAACTAGCAACTTTGCAGTCACTATGTCACTGCCGTGAGTTGTGAACTATAAATAAATAAAATTTTGATTTATTAAATAATTAATTTTGTTAAATTGCACTGTACTTTCTTGAATACTGACGTTTTTAAAAATATAAGCTCATCCCGATGTTACACTCAACAAGAGCTTTCATTTGAGTACCCACATCAATTTTTCATATATTTTATATATTATATATATGTGTATGTATGAAAAATATATCAAAAATGCAAGCGGGTACTCAAATGAAAGGTCTCGATGATTGTAACATCGGGATGAGCTTATATCTTCAAAAATGTCAAGAGTTGACAAGATACAATGTTGTTTCTTAATTATTGACATTTTTTAAGATATAAACTGATTTTTAAGTTACACTCATCGAGACCTTTCATTTGAGTACCCACATGACATTTTATATATATTTCATATATATGATATTTATGAAATATATATAAATATATGAAAAATTGATGTGGGTACTCAAATGAAAGGTCTCGATGAGTGTATCATCAGGATGAGCTTATATCTTAAAAAATGTCAATAGTTCACTAGATGCAAGATCATTATTAAAAAAAATTTTTTTTTAATTTTTACCTAGGTCTGAAGCATCGCCAACGTTTCCTCTGCGAGCTGCGAGTAAACGGCTTCGACTACGTCGCAGTGGGAAACTCCACCAACAAAAAGGACGCGCAGGGCAACGCATCCCGAGACTTTATTAACTACCTGGTCCGAACGGGCCACGTGGCTGCAAAGGATGTCCCCGGAGACATTGGTCCAACCGGAGGAATGGATGCAGGAGCTGGTCCAGCTCCTGGCCCAGCACAAGGTCAAGGTCCAGCGCCAGGTCCTCAGAGATCAGTCTTTCAGGACGGAATGGGCCCGAACGACATCGGTCAAGCCTACAGACCTTACAACGACCGCGGAGAGTCCAATTATACTTACATGGACCGGATCGCCGACCAGAAGCGCGTCGAGGAAGCCGAGGACCTGGATGTGAATGCTGCGATCCACGGGAACTGGACCATCGAGAACGCCAAGTCGAAGCTCCACCAGTTTATGCAAACGAACAAAATTAATACTGACTATAAGTATACGCCCGTTGGTCCCGACCACACTAGGTACGGTTTAAGAAATCTCCGTGATTTAGTATTTAGTTTTTTTGGGATTTTTAGCAAGACTATTTTGGAGTACACTATAAACTGAACAAACAAATGGAAATGTTTATTTATTTGGTCAGCTGGCTCATTAATACTTTTTGTATCAATGAATTTTGCTGATAGTTAAATTGTTTTATCATGTCATTTTAATCAAAGCTTGTATTGAAAAATATCAACACTAGCTTTGATGATAGTCAAGATATCCATGATTATTGTGTACTTCAAGGTCGTCTTGGATTGTAATTCATCCGATGGGTGAGTTTTATTATTTTACTTTAAAATTTTAGCGCATGAATTTGCTTTTTATATTTTTTTATTTATTAAAAATATTATGATAAAATTTGATTGTTATTTTTTTTTGCAGGAGTTTTATGGCTGAGATGACTATTTATGTGAAGCAATTGGGAAGAAGTAAGTTATCAAGTACACTTAATACTTAAGTTAGCCGACGTTTTTAATTTTTTTTTTAGTGATTAAATTAGAACAAAAAAACAGTTTTTTAAAATTGTAATTACAGTTTTTTTCAAATGAAAATTTTTTTAACAATTAAATTATAATAAAAAAAATTTTGCAATAAAATTCGAAAATGCTCTTTTTAGCTACATAATTAAGAAATGGTCTTATATCTTGTCAACTAATTATATTTTCAAAGATATAAGCTCATCCTGATGTTGCGCTCATCGAGACCTTTCATTTGAGTACCCACATCAATTTTTCATATATTTATATATATATGTATATATGAAAAATATATCAAAAATGTATGTGGGTACTCAAATGAAAGCTCTTGATGAGTGTATCATCGGGATGAGCTTGTATCTTTAAAATTGTAAAGATTTAAGAAAGTACAGTGCAATTTAATAAGTCATTAATTTAACAAAGCAAAATTTGCTAGTTTAAAAATAAAGATAGACATTTATACTTTAAAAGACAATTAATAAATTTATTATTATTTATTAAATTTTATAATTATTTATTATTTTATGAATTACAATTTATTTACTAAAATAAAAAATTAATTACTTAATTAAAATTAAAAAAGAATAACAGTAGTATCAATAAACATTACTAATAATATTTTTTTAATAAAAAATTACAGACATAACCGGCCGAGAAACGGCGTCAAACAAGCAAACAGCTTCAAAAAGCTGCGCTCTGTCTTTAGTACGTCAATTATACCACTTGGGAGTAATCGAGCCCTTCTCAGGTACTCTAAAAAAGACCCGTGAAACTCAGCAAATGAAGCCTTACCCGGTGAAAATCTCCCCGGAGCTGATGGACAAGGTCTACGAAGTGCTCAATGGCTTGGACGTGAAGCCCGTTGATGTTCGTCGCGCTCCTATGCCTGAAAAAGTAGAACCAGGAACCCAGAACCCGGAGTCCAAGCCGGGGATTTCTCTGGTGACTGACCAGGTGCTGAATGACTTTATTTCTTCGAACCCCCAGCCTGCGGGAGTGGTCTCCTGGTCACCTCCTCAACCCAATTGGAATCCTTGGATTAATTGTAACATTGATGAAGGGCCTCTTGCCACCACTCCGCTGGATACTCTTTCTGTTGACATGATGAAGGACCAACGGGAGCGTCAGTTGCAGGTATATAATTAAAAAATTTTCTCTATTAGATGAAGAAATTAATTTAAACAGCTAACTTTATTTTTTAATAATTAATATTTAATATTAACTGACAGTAATTTTTTTTTTCAATTTTTTAATTAATTAGAATTTAATAAAAATTTATATGATAGGTAGTCTTAATACAGATGATTAAATATATTTAAAAATAAATTAGGGTGTCAATATTTAGACCCCTGTCAATAATTAGGGCTTTCACCTTATAAATAAATTTAACACTAGCATAAAATAATTATAAATTGAAAAAAAAAAAAAAAAAAATTAACGACGCTGGGAATCGAACCCTGTTCAGTTGCATTACCTGTTTGGTAACTTAGTCACGTGGCTACGGTAAAAAATTAACATGGCTAAAAATAATCCAAAAAGTCAATAATTGGGCTTTTAGCTTAAATATCAATAAATTACTCTACAATTTTTTTATTTTTTTTCTTTTTTAAGGATGCTTCGCTGAAGCAAAGCATGAAAGAGCGCTCCACTCTCCCGGTCTTCGCAAAGAAGAACGAGATAATGGCAGCAATAAATGAGAACCCGGTGATAATAATCCGCGGAAACACTGGCTGCGGAAAAACCACCCAAGTGTGCCAGTTTATCCTGGATGACTATATCGCCTCCGAGCAGGGCGCTTACTGCAGCATAGTAGTAACCCAGCCCCGGCGAATTTCCGCTGTCTCAGTTTCCGACCGAGTTGCCGCAGAGCGCTGCGAGCCTCTAGGCCAGTCCGTAGGGTACAGTGTCAGATTCGAGTCCCAGCTTCCGCGCCCCTACGGCAGCATAATGTTCTGCACAGTCGGAGTTTTGCTCCGCAAACTCGAAGGAGGACTTAGAGGCGTGTCCCACGTGATTGTCGACGAGATCCACGAGCGAGACGTCAACTCTGACTTTATAATGGTCCTACTTCGTGACATGGTCCACACTTACCCTGACTTGAGGGTCATCTTGATGTCAGCGACCATCGACACGAGTCTCTTCAGTGATTACTTCAACAAGTGCCCAGTAATTGAAGTCCCGGGTCGCGCTTATCCAGTCCAGCAATATTTCCTGGAGGATTGCGTTCACTTGACCAATTTTGTCCCGCCAATGGACTCCAGGAAGCGCAAGTCCAGGGACCCTGATGATACTCTTCCTGACGCAGAGCCCGAGGAAAATATGAACAAGTTTGTCAGCTCGGATTATTCTGAGCACACTAAAAACGCAATGGCCCAATTGTCGGAAAAGGAAATCAGTTTTGAGTTAATTGAAGCTTTGCTGGAGTATATAAGGAGGCAAGGAATTCCAGGAGCTGTTCTTATGTTCCTGCCAGGCTGGAATTTAATTTTTGCGCTGATGAAACATCTTCAACAGCATCCTGTTTTTGGAGGGAATAAATATGTTATTATTCCCCTGCATTCGCAGCTTCCTAGAGAGGATCAGAGGAAGGTTTTTGAACCAGTTTCTCCAGATGTTACCAAGGTAATTAAATACACACATTTATTTAATATTATTTTAGTTTTAGGAGTCAAATTTTAAAAACTAGTCGAATTATCAATTAAATTTTCATTTAGAAACAAAAATTTTGGTTAAAATAGACTTGAAAAATAATAATTCAAGTTTTTATTGGAAAAAATTGAGTTATAGAAGGCTAATTCATTAGAAATTGATAAAGAAAAAGAGATTTTGGATAATATACGACAAAATGGCGGCTACAATTCTCGCACCCTAAAATGGCGGCTAATACCAAGCGCGGCAAATTCAAAAATGACTTATATAAAATTTATTTTGAAAAGTTACACTTAAGATTCACGCAAAGTAGTCAAATTTTAAAAACTAGTGGAATTATTAATTAAAATTTTTTTTAAGAAAAAAAAAGTTTATTACTTGTTTGTTTAAATCGACAAAAAATAATTATCCAAGTTTTTATTGCGTAAAATTGTTTCATAAGAGGGTAATTCATTAGAATTCGTTGAAAAAAGAGATTTTCAATAAAATTCGACAAAATGGCGGCTGCAATTCCCGCACCACAAAATGGGGGCTAGTACCAAGCGCGGCAAATTTAAAAATTGAAAAATGAATAATATAAAATATTTATAAACTAACTGTTATATTTTTTTTTTTTTTCAGGTAATTCTCTCAACAAACATCGCAGAAACTTCAATTACAATCAACGACGTAGTCTACGTAATAGACTCCTGCAAAGCCAAAATGAAGCTCTTCACTTCCCACAACAACATGACGAACTACGCAACAGTCTGGGCAAGCAAGACCAACCTGGAGCAGCGTATGGGTCGAGCTGGACGTGTAAGACCCGGTTTTTGCTTCCATCTGTGCTCCAAAGCCAGGTTCAACAAGATGGAGCAGCACATGACTCCAGAAATGTTCCGGACGCCTTTGCACGAGCTTGCTTTAAGCATCAAGCTGCTGAACCTCGGTTCCATCGGGAAGTTCCTGTCCAAAGCGATCGAGCCGCCTCCAATTGACGCGGTGATAGAAGCTGAGGTGATGCTCCGGGAGATGAAGTGCTTGGACTCCAATGACGAGTTGACTCCTCTGGGAAAAATCCTTGCGCGGCTGCCTATTGAACCGAGACTCGGCAAGATGATGATCATGGGCTGTATGCTAAGAGTTGGAGATGCTCTATCAACCATGGCCGCCAACAGTACCACCTTCCCGGAGGTCTACAACATGGGTCCTGATATGAGGAGACTCTCTGCTCAGCAGAAGTGGTTCGCTGGTGCTAGGTACAGCGACCATGTTGCTATGCTACATGCTTTTCAATGCTGGGAAGAAGCTCGTGGAGGCGGAGAGTATGCTGAGCAAGCTTTCTGCGACTCTAAAGGTTTGTTTTAATTTACTTGAAGAGCTCAATAGCATAGGATACCTATCTTTTTAAGCTCGAAGAGCTCAAAAACGTCATAAGTACAATTTTACAAAATGATTGTTTTAAATTTGCATTTTTTAATTTCAAAACTTTCTGTCATTTTTTTTTTCTAATTTTTTTATTAATTATTAGGCTATGTAGATTGAACTTACAAATTTTCAGTGAGTTTCAAAAATTTCACTACTTCGCGTGGATCTCCTTAAGTGTCACTTATTAAAATAAACTCTCAAAGTCATTTTTAAATTTGCCGCGCTTGGTATTAGCCGCCATTTTGTGGAGCGGGAATTGCAGCCGCCATTTTGTCGAATACTATTGAACAATCTTTTTTTTTATGATTTTTAATGAATTAGTCTTTTATAAACCAATTTTATGCAAGAAAAACTTGAATAATTACTTATTTAATCTATTTCAACAAACAAGTAGTTAAATTTTTTTTTCTAAAAAAAATTTAATTAATAATTCTACTAGTTTTAAAAATTAGACTGCGTGGATCTCCTTAAGTGTCACTTTTTAAAATATATTTTCAAATCATTTTTAAATTTCCCGCGCTTGGTATTTCCGCCATTTTGTGGCGCGGAAGTTCCAGCCGCCATCTTGTCGAATCCTATCCAAAATCTCTTTTTTTAATGATTTCTAATGAATTAGCCTTTTATAACCCAATTTTTTCCAATATGAACTTAAATTATTATTTTTGGTTTATTTTAACAAATTTAAATAGATAATTCCACTAGTTTTTAAAAAAAATCAATTTTTGAAAAACAAAATTTTAAAATATTTTCAAATAATTTTTTATCTATCCTTAAATCATAATATATTATAATTAAACTAACAAAAAATTTCTAATTTCAGGTTTAAGCCTACCAACCCTCCGTGTAACCTGGGAAGCTAAAAACCAGCTTCAAGGTCTCTTACAAACCACAGGCTTCCCTGAAGAGACTTTATGCCCAACTCCATTGAACTACCAAGCAGGTGCAGATGTGCGACTGGACACCATCACAGCGCTTCTGTGCATGGGTCTGTACCCAAACGTTTGCTACCACAAGGAAAAGCGCAAGGTTCTAACCACAGAATCGAGGGACGCTTTGATCCACAAGACTTCAGTGAACTGCAGCAACTTTGAGCAGACTTTTCCGTACCCATTTTTCGTTTTTGGCGAGAAGATCCGAACCCGAGCGGTGTCTTGCAAGCAGCTGACGATGGTATCACCGATCCATCTTCTGTTATTCGGCTCCAGGAAGGTGGAGTTCATTGATAATGTCATTAGGTTGGACAATTGGATCAACCTGGAGATGAATCCTGAGCAAGCTGCAGCGATTGTTGCTCTAAGGCCTGCTTTGGAGAGCTTGGTCGTTCGCGCAGCGAAGGACCCTGAGACTATCTTGGAGCTCAGTCCAATTGAAGACAAGGTAAATTTCACAAGAATTGAAAAATTCTTGATCCAAATGATTAATTTTTTTTTTTTTTTTTTTAAGGTCCTGGCGACAATCAAGGAGCTCTGTGGAATGAACGCGGGTCGCTTTGAGATGGACGCTATCACTGGAGGAGGCTTCCAGTCCCGGCGACCGCCTCGTGGACACTCCACTGGCTTCTCAGGACCTCCGAATAAATTTACAAGAGATGACAACTACCGTGGTGGACCTAGAGGTGGGTTTGGAGGCAGGGGTGGCTTCAGAGGTCGTGGGTGGGGTGACCGAGGTCAACGTGGCTATAATAGATATTAATTTAATTTAATTTTTAAAGATTTTTTGTAATCAAGGAATAAACTAATGGATACTTATTTCTTTTTTAAGATTTATTTTTTTAATATAAAAATTTTTATTCAAGGTGAGTATCGAGAGTATGTCCAGTAATGCTGGTACTGAGAGCCGGAGTATGATGAAGAAGGTGAGGATTCCAGGGAGATTCCTGCTTGCGTTTGGCAGGCTAGTAACCCGTTGAAGTCGAATTTGTAAGCATATCTTTTTCCGTGGACTTTTGTCATTATGTTCTTGTCGTAGTAATACCTGGAAGATTTATTTTGTTAGATGGTTTGTTGCAAAAGTGACTTTTAAGGTTTCATGACTGATAGGCGGTTTATTATAAGTATTTAGGGGTTTGAAAATATCTCTAGATACATAATTAAGAAATTACGTTGTATCTTGGAAACTCTTGAGATTTTTTAAGATATAAGTTCATCTTGAGGTTATATTCATGAAGACCTTTCATTTGAGTACCTACATGACATTTTTTATATATTATATATATATGATATTTGTGGAATATATAAATATATAAAATATATGAAAAACTGATGTGGGTACTCAAATGAAAGGTCTCAATGAGGGTAATGTCGGGGTGAGCTTATATCATAAAAAATGTCAATAATTAATAAATGACGTATCTTAAAAACTATTGACATTTTTGAAGATATAAGCTCATTCTAAGGTTACACTCGTCGAGACCTTTCATTTAATTACCCACATCAATTTTTCATATATTTTATATATTTATATATTTCACAAATATCATATATATATATATAAAATATATTAAAAATGACATGTGGGTATTTGAATGAAAGGACTTGATAAGTGTAACTTAAAAATGAGTTTATATCTTGAAAAATTTCAATAATTAAGAAATGACCTTGTATTTTGTCAAACATTGAGATTTTTTAAGTTATAAGCTCATCCTGATGTTACACTCATCGAGACCTTTCATTTGAATACCCACATTAATTTTTCATATATTTTATATATTTATATATATTAGATATATGTATATATGAAAAATATATCAAAAATGCATGTGGGTACTCAAATGATAGCTCTTGATGAGTCTAACCTCGGGATGAGCTTATATCTTTAAAAATGTCATTATTTAAGAAAGTACTGTGCAATTTAACAAAAGTCATTATTTAATTCTTCAAATTTTAATTTAAAAAAAATTGTCAATACCTGAGCGCTCTCGACAATTTATCATAGTTCATATTAGGCTTGCTTTTGCGTTCTCCCCACCTTCTTGCAACCTCATCAGGATCAGTAAGTTTAAACTCTCCATTAGTGCCTTCCCAAGTGATGCAACTGGCATTTCCCGAATCCGCGAGTAACTCAAGAAGAAATTGCCAGAGTTGTACTTGACCGCCGCTATTGCCGGCAGCAATTGCCGAAGCCACCGAAGAAGATAGCGTTATATTTCCTGAGCCAATAATTGAACAGGATCTTTGTAGAAGGCTGAGCCTTTCTGTTAAAAAATATCAAAGAATAATTTTAATTTAACAAAAAAAAAAAAAAAATGATCTCTTCTTACTGAGTAGAGTCGCGGTTCTTTGGCGGGAGATTTAACTTAAAGTCGAAAAGACCGAGCCGAAAATTTAAAGGTGGAGTTTAGTTAATGCAGGTGATAGGTACAAGACCACCCGGCTGATGAATTAATTCGTAGTTCGTAGAAAAAAGAAAGTCAATGGTGGATATTTAGATAACGCGACAAAGAGGTACCGCTCACTTTAAGTTTGTAATTTTGTCATTTTTGGATTAAATAATATATTATATATATATATATCTTTATTTAACGTCTTGGGACGACAACACCAGGGGGTATTTTAAGTGTTGAGACAAAATAAAAGATCCGCCTGATATTGTCACTTCTTGTGTGGCGGCTATTTCTAAGTGACAATAAATTTAGTTTATACAAAGAGTTTCGGTGTTTGTTTGATAGCTTTAAAGTCTGTTGACATTCTTATTATTATTTTTTTTATTATTATTATTTTTAAAAAGTTTAAGAGAATGAGCAATATTTTGTGGCCAATATAATAAGTATTAAGGCTGCATAATTAAGAAATTACCTTGTATCTTGAGAACTATTGACATTTTTAATGATATAAGCTCATCCTGATGTTACGCTCATTGAGACCTTTCATTTGAGTACCCACATCAATTTTTCATATATTTTGAATATTTTATATATATTATATATATGTATGTATGAAAAATATATGAAAAATGCATGTGGGTACTCAAATGAAAGCTCTTGATGAGTATAACATCGGGATGAGCTTATATCTTTAAAAAACTCATTATTTAATAAAGCAAATTTTTAATTTTTCATAGTTCACAAGTCACATGGTGACTGCAAGATTGCTAGTAATAATAAATTCAAAAATTGATAATTACATAAAATATTAAAAACTAAATCTTTATTTTTAAAATTCTGGCTTGAGAAACTTTTTTGTAGGAAATTAAATTCTCTATAAAAATGGTCTTATGATTTTTTTGTATTTTCAATATTTGACCCAGAATTATGAATTTAAATTTTAAAATTCAAAATAGTGTTATTAATAATTGTTCTAAAAAAAATTTTATAAAATTTTGTTTTGTTATTTAACTAAAAAAAAAAAAAAAATTGTAAATAAATTAAAATCATAAATTGAATAATTATATAAAGAACTTTTAAGCTACACCGAAAGTCTTTTAACATAAAATAATAAATATACAAATTTAAGACCCGACTTAGCGATTCGCGGAATAGAATTTAAACTTCTATCACTAAAATATAATAATAATAATAATAAAACTAATCTTTAACATAAATAAAAATACCATTATAAAAAATAGCGGGATGAATTCTTGACTCTTGTAAATTCAAAGGATGCTGTATCCTCCACATCACAAATATAATCAACAGTACTTCACAAGTTCCAATAAGTACCACTTTTATTCTTCAATTTTTTACGCACTCTGTTTAGCATTATTTAAATTTAAATTAATAAAAAAATTAAAAATAAAATTGACTGGTAAGTTTTAATGGAGTTAAGTTAAAATAATTAAATAACGAATGTGGTTGAGCGTCCAATGGACAAAGTGTATCTGAGGAAGCGACCTTTGCCCAAGTCATTTCATCCCTTATCTTTCACCCCCTCTCTGACTTTCAACTTCACCCGTAACCGGTGGATTTTCTCACTCCCTCGTGAAAACTCTTATAAAACTATATATTCTTTTAGTCCTCACTTTATTTTTATTTTTATTTTTATTATTATTATTCTTCTTCTTTTAATAAAATTTTTAAATGTCTTATTCAATTCTTATCAATTTAAAAAATTTATTTTTTTTCAGGGTGTATTTTAAAAAACACAATTTTTTAATGAAGAAATCAAATTTTTGGTCAATAATTAATTATATATAATACATAATTAGGAAGCGACCTTGTATTTTGTGAATTGTTGACATTTTTAAAGATATAAGCTCATCTTGATGTTACACTCATCGAGACCTTTCATTTGAGTACCCACATCAATTTTTCATATATTTCATATATTTATATATATTATATATATGTATATATGAAAAATATATGAAAAATGCATGTGGGAACTCAAATGAAAGCTCTTGATGAGTATAACATCGGGATGAGCTTATATCTTTAAAAATATCAATAATTAAGAAATTATATTATATTTTGTTCTTATGATATTTTTAAAGATATAAGCTCATCCTGACGTTACAGTCATCGAGACCTTTCATTTGAATACCCACATCAATTTTTTATATATTTCATATATTTATATATATTATATATATGTATATATGGAAAATATATAAAAAATGTATGTCGGTACTCAAATGAAAGGTCTTGATGAGTGTAACATCGGGATGAGCTTATATCTCAAAAAACGTCAATATTTAAGAAAGTACAGAGCAATTTAACCAAATTCATTATTTAATAATGCAAAATTTTTATTTTTTATAGTTCACATCTTACAGCAGTCACGTAGTGACTGCAAGGTTGCTAGTTAATTATAAAAATATTTTTTAAATTTTAAGACAAAGAAAAAATTTTTTAAAGAATAAAATCAAAAGTTATGAAGATTTAAACCAAAATAAAACCTAAAACTTGAAAACTTGAAAATTCCAAGTACCATAAATCAGTCAAGCCCAGCAAAGCCAAATAATTATTTCAGAAGGTGAAAAGCTTGGAATAAGGTTGAAGATCTTAAACGTTAAATATACAAGTTATATAAAAGCTCATCAAGAAAACAATATAGTTGCACCCTGCGGTGAGCTTTGCACCGAGAAATTCACGGGGCGAGCACTCGTGGATATGTCGCTTGTCATCCATCTCTTTGTCTATCTCAATGTTATATGTTATATATATTTATATAGATAAAGACCGTGGGAGTCTTAAAGGATGTATAAGGACTTTAAGTCGCCCTACTCCTGCTCCTACTTTAGCTCTAAACACTCGATGGTTTATTCATGAGGTCTCAATGTGATAACACACTGATTCCTTTTAATAAACGCTTCCACTCTATTCTATTCTATATTATATTATTATATATTATATATAACAAGGGAGAGAATCTTGGAGAAATAATTATTAACTAGCAACCTGCAGTCACTGTGTGACTTATGAGATTTACGGATTATGAGTAGGAAAATTTTGGCTTGATTTTTTTTTTATATTTATGACAAGTTTGGAGACTTTTTAGATAAATTTTCATTAAAAAATTAATTTTAAATCATAACTTTTGTTAAATTGCTGTGTACTTTCTTAACTATTGACATTTATAAAGATATAAGCTCATCCCGATGTTACACTTATCAAGACCTTTCATTTGAGTACCCACATCAATTTTTCATATATTTTATATATTTATATATATTAGATATATGTATATATGAAAAATATATCAAAAATGCATGTGGGTATTCAAATGAAACCTCTTGATGAGTGTAACATCGGGATGAGCTTATATTTTCAAAAATCTCAATAGTTCTCAAGATATAAGGTCTTTACTAAATAACGACTTTTGTTAAATTGCACTCTACTGTCCTAATTATTGATGATTTTAAAAATATAAGCTCGTCCCGATGTTACAATCATCAAGAGCTTTTATTTGAATACCCACATGCATTTTGTGGGTATTCAAATGAAACCTCTTGATGAGTGTAACATCGGGATGAGCTTATATTTTCAAAAATCTCAATAGTTCTCAAGATATAAGGTCTTTACTAAATAACGACTTTTGTTAAATTGCACTCTACTGTCCTAATTATTGATGATTTTAAAAATATAAGCTCGTCCCGATGTTACAATCATCAAGAGCTTTTATTTGAATACCCACATGCATTTTTGATATATTTTTCATATATACATATATCTAATATATATAAATATATCAAATATATGAAAAATTGATGTGGGTATTCAAATGAAAGCTCTTGATGAGAGTAACATCAGGATGAGCTTATATCTTCAAAAACGTCAATATTTTAGAAAGTACAGTGCAATTTAATAAAAGTCTTTATTAAGACTACTATATAAATAATCTTATTTAAGATTACTTTATAAAATAAAAGTTAATCAATTTTAATTAAATCGCTGACAGTGAATCGATTTACTGCTAACTGATACGAGAGATATATGTTTAGAAATAAAATGACCAGACTTGGGTCCCCTGAGATTGAGGGTGAGTTTAGAAGAAGATAATCTTAATGGATAAATATATAAACAAGCTTAATTTAAAATTAAAGTTGAGTTAGTTTTTATTTATAATAATTAAATTTAATAATATTTTTCTTGATTCATAAAATTTAAAATTAATTAAATTAATAATTTAATTTGATAATTACTTACCATTTGTTTGTTCCTGAATCAGCTCGTGGTCGTACACCCCGGTGGCTTGCAACCTGAGGTACCCAAGGTGTCTGGCGAGGATTTTCCCTCCCGAAATTCTTCTCCACTTATCACTAGTGATGTTTATCAACTCCTCACCGCTGTCCGGCAGCTTGCTACGCTCCGGGGGTGGGTTTATTGAAAACACTCGGCTGCACCACGTTAGCCACCCATCAACGTGCTCTGATTTCCATTCAGCTGGATCTGCAAATTTTTTTTTTCATTTTTAATCCTTTCTAATTAATTATAAATTTATCGAATTATTATTATTATTTTTTTATAGAATTTTAAAAATAATAATACCAAAAATTAATAATAATAAAAACTGAGTCTTTATTTTTAAAATTCTGGCTTAATTTTTTATAAAAAAGGTATAATTTTTTTATATTTTTAATATTTGGCCCAGAATTTTGAATTTTAAAGTTAAAATTCAGTATTTTTTTATTTATTCATAATAATTCAAAATATTATTATTAATATTTTTTTTTTTATTTTTTATACATTCTAATTAAATTACAAAATTATTTAATTTAATTTAATTAATTAATTTAATTAACTTACTTGTAGGTACCATCACTGGATCATTTTTATTTAATAATTCCATGTCAACATTTTTAGATAAATTATTATTATTATTATTATTATTATTATTATTATTATTATTATTATTATCGTAATTAAAACAACAAAAATTATGACATTTTTCTTGAACAGATGAACAGTAACTAAAATTTTCTTCTTCCAGATCTCGATTATGCATAAGATGATTCATCTTTAAAAATTTTTTAAATTTTTTTTAGTCAGTAAGTATTACGCTGATAAGTAAAAATAAAAAAAAAGTAATGTATGACTCGACACTTCTCAATAATAAATTTAAAGTAAAATAAAATTTTTAATTTTCAGATTGACAATTTTAAAAACCACCTCGAAGTTATCGATACGAAAGACAAACTTAATATGTTTGTATATTATTAAATCCTGGAATATATATATATATTAAAAAAAAATCCCCGCTCTTTTCCTACGTGATTTTCGTATGAATGGAGCCAGAGTTTTGTAGTAAAAATTACATATATATGTATTTAAATCCAGCGGCGAAATTCGGCAAAGAGCCGAATATGTGTCTATAAGTCTTGGAGTGAAAAGTTGTGAATGGAATTAAATGTATATAGATATATATTTATTGATAGAGAGAGTAATATATGATGACGGAATAAGAAAGTCGGAATGATCAGACCCTTAGTTCTGAGAAACGAGGTCCAGAGACCGCGAGACCTTCAGAGAAATACGGAATAAGAAGAGGTGCATCGTCTAACGCTGATTCATACTTAACTTTTTTTTTTTTTTCTAAGTGTCTTCATTTAATTTTACAATTAAAAATTTTTTTAAATTAAAATTAATTTAAAAAAATTAAGTAATATAAAATTCAAAAAATTTTTTATCATAAATTATGATAATGTTGTGGTTAGATAGAAAATTTTTTATATGCTTATTTATAATGATTTTTATTATTTACATAAAAAATCTTGATTATTTAATTTAATTGCAATAGAAAAGACTAGAAAATTTAAGAAGACTTAAAAGTCTTCATAAATTCCGTGCAAAAAAATTAACAATTAATTATTTAATAAATTATAAATTACTGAAATTGAGAGACAGACAATTTTTTATTAAATTGCACTGTATTTTATTAACTAATGATATTTTTTAAGATATAAGCTCATCTTGATGTTACAATCATCAAGAGCTTTCATTTGAGTACCCACATGCGTTTTTGATATATTTTTCATATATACATATATATGATATATATATAAATATATAAAATATATGAAAAAGTGATGTGGGTACTCAAATGAAAGGTTTTGATGAGTGTGACGTCAGGATGAGCTTATATCATTAATAATGTCAATAGTTGACAAAATACAATATAATTTCTTAATAATTGATATATTTAAAGAAATAAGCTCATTTTGATGTTACACTTATCAAGAGCTTTCATTTGAGTACCCACATGCATTTTTGATACATGTTTCATATATACATATATATGATATATATAAATATATAAAATATATGAAAAAGTGATGTGGGTATTCAAATGAAAGGTCTTAATGAATATAACATCAGGATGAGCTTATATCTTTAAAATTGTCAAGTGTCTAGCAATTTCAATTTAAATTAATATAACTTTATTGTCGCTTTTTGGTAGCTTTGATCGCTTTAGTCTTCTGCTTATCATTGCCAGTCAAAAACGACGTGATAACTTCAGACATCTCGGGCATATTATAACTCGTCAAACTGTTGAACTGTTCCAGGTCTTTGCGGGTCTCGGGGTCGTTCATTACTTTGGGGATCACCATGATCAGCAGCAGTGGTAAGATCATCATTAGAACCTTTAAAAAAATTTTTATTTAAAAATTTTGAGTTAGAAAGTTTGTTAAAAATTTTCAAAAAATACTAAATTAATAATTGAAAAGTTACCATTGGACTGAATAAAAAGTCAGCAACTCTCCATTGCTCGCGAACCTGGAAGTACCTGAAGGGAGTTACAGCCCTCATTTTCAACGGATAAGGCACCTGGATCACCTGAGAGGTCTGGATCAAGTTTACTTTCCTCGCTCGGAATTTACCCTTGGAGTTTATTTCTACTCTCACTGGTTCGTAGGCGTAGTTAGGGTTCACCACTTCGACAATGTAGGAACCTGAAGGTACGTTTGATATTGTGAAGGTTCCATCCTCTCTAAAAATATTATTTATTATTATTATTATTAAATAATGAATTTTGTTAAATTGCATTGTACTTTCTTAAATATTGATGTTTTAAAAGATATAAGCTCATCCCGATGTTACTCTCATCGAGACCTTTGATTTGAGTACCCACATGCATTTTTGATATATTTTTCATATATACATATATATATATATAATATATATAAATATATAAAATATATGAAAAATTGATGTGGCTACTCAAATGAAAGGTCTCGATGAGCGTAACATCGGGATGAGCTTATATCTTTAAAAATGTCAATAGTTCTCAAGATACAAGGTCATTTCTTAATTATTGACATTTTTTAAGATATAAACTCATTTGGATGTTACACTCATCGAGACCTTTTATTCAAGTACCCACATGCATTTTTGATATATTTTTCATATATACATATAAATAATATATATATATATATAAATATATGAAAAATTGATGTGGGTATTCAAATGAAAGGTCTTGATGAGTGTAACATCAAGATGAGCTTATATTTTTAAAAATGTCAATAATTTACAAGATAAAAGGTCATTTTATAATTATGTATATAGAAATGGAGCAAAATTTTTCTTATTCTTATAATAATTTAGATAATAAATTATTAAAAGAATTAATAACAAAAATTAACAAGAGTCAGCTGATTTTAATACAATTAATTTTTTTTTAATAAAAAATTAATAAAAATTGTCATGTCTAAAATTTTAGACATTTAAAAAAAAAACTAACCTTAAATATCCATAATACTCTCCACCATTTGCCATAACATGGGTCATAAGTTGCCATCCATTTGGAGAACCATCCCAAGGAAATACTTTTCCTTCAATTACATACAAATCATTTGATAAATCTTCATCACTTTCAGCAAATATACAATTAATATTCACAAAAATAAATAATAAGCAAATTGACTTATTAATAAAATTCATTTTTACAATTATTATTATTATTAAATTCTTTCTTTTAAACACAAAAAATTTTTATACAATCAAAACAATTTTATATCATTTATTTTATTGCAGGTGTTATTGTTTACTAAGTAATTAGAATGACACGTACTCCATTCTATTTAACAATCAATATCAAATTTCTCTCACATAATAATTGTCCGATATACTTTTCTTAAAACGTTCGGTAAGTTCCGGAGTACTTCGGGTGAGTTCGTAATTCTAGAAATTAAGTGTTTTATTGACATTCGATGTTTATTATGTTTATGTAGTTTAGCTATTTTAGTAGGTGAATATTAGCTGTGTTGCTTTGTGATTTTTTTCAAAGTTTCCAGTTATTAAGTGTGGGGTAATTATTAAAACAATTTACAATGACATTTGAGGTAAATATATCAATTATTAATAACATTAAAGTTAGCTGTCGCTTGACAAGTTTTTAATTTTTTTTAATAAATACATTAAATACTAATTATAAAACTTTATTTACAGTAAAATATTTTAAATATTTCATTTCGTGGACGAGGCGGTGGAGGCTGAGGTGGTGGATTTAGAGGAAATAATCGGGGAGGTGACAGAAATAGAGGATAAAAAATATCATTATCATTATTATTATTTAACTAATCAAGTGTTTTTATGTTAATAAAGGAACGATCAAGGTCCACCAGAATCTGTAACATCTTTAGGGCACTTTGAATGGTCAGTCCAGGATGATCTTGTAGCTAAAATAGATATTGAACAAGTTCCATTTTTTAATGCTCCAATTTACACTGAAAATAAACAACAAATTGGAAAAATTGACGAAATATTTGGCAATATTCGGGATTATTATGTTTCAATAAAACTTTTAGAAAACGTAAAAGCTTCAAGTTTTGAAAAAAATTTTAAGATAATTATTAATCAATTTAATCAATATTATTATTAATTCAACACAAGTAATGTAAATTGTTTTTTTTTTTTTGTCCTTTTTTATTTTAGTTATTTATCGATCCAGCTAAATTACTACCTCTTACCAGGATCAATTGAGAAACCCCGCAGGCCACCGGTACCAATCTCCAGTTTCAACAAACCTCAGGAAGAGGAGCCGGATATTGTTCAGCAGTGTCTCGATAAGACGAGCGAAAAACTTCCAAAGCCAGTTTTTAATAATAGGCGCAGCGAGGCGAAAACTAGTTTAAGTCGGAATCAAGTCCCGAGAACTGCTGCAGGGTCCAGCGAGCTCCCATCTTGTAGTTTCGTTTCCGTGCCGCAAAATAGCGAGAGTAATGTTACTCAGTCGACAGCTCCCAAGCAATTATTTAGCGGATTAGTTTTTTTTAATACTCGGGCATGATGATCAGATGAGTGCGACTGTCCAGGCTGCTGGCGGTAAAGTTGTTCCCAGCTCCTACAAAGGAATTCCTGACTTTGCAATTGTACCAATCTCTGGTGCGACTATTAAGCACACAGTAGGTGAAATTGTGACGTTTAATTTCGAAGAATGCATAGAATTAAAAAAAAAAAATGGTTGATATAGTGTTTTACCACAGGCCAATGTCAATTCCTCCGGATGTAAAACCGCTTTCAGAATGCGTAATTTTCATCAGTTCTTACAAAGGTTTTGAAAGACACTATCTGCAGGAGTTATCAGTAGCTAAGGGGAAACTAATTTCACGAAGAACTGTTTTTCAGGGACTCATTTAATTTGTGTAGAACCAACTGGGAGAAAATACGAAGCTGCTGTCGAGTGGAATCTTCCTTCCAGCAGTGGATGCTGACTGGTTGATAGATTGTGGCAAGAGACTTACTCTCGTTGATGAAACTCCGTATTTAGTCGGGGTAACAGTAGCTCCAGTTCGCAAACCTCCAGAGCAACTGATGGGATCAGAACACTCCGAGCTCGCCTTTGTCAATAAACCATGTCAATACACCACAAACGCCCTACGGAGCGACTGTAAAGCCTAATCCTTCGGCAAACTTTAAGAAGATGACCTTGAAGTGGATCAACAATTGTCCGAAAAATAAAACAAAGACTCCACGACAACGCGCTCCTCGTACTCCGTTGTTGGAGTTGGCGAGACAGTTTTTGTCAATTTATATATAAGTTGTTGATTAAAAAAATTTTTTTAGAAACAGTGCAACGTGTGTACCTGTAACATTTATTGGAATTCTAATGGAAGATTTGAACGAAGTTAATCCAAAAAATAATCTGGTGGAAAAGGTAAGAAATATTTGATAAATTTTTTAGGATATACGGTGTATGTCTAGTGATATCATAACTCGAACGAATAAAAATTAATTATTCATCCGATAATTTGAAATTTGAAAATAGATATAAAAAACATTTATTCAACTTTTCAATATAAGTATATTCTTGTTCGTCCAAAACATTAAATCACTAGCAACAGCCTTTTTAATTTTAGTAATTTTAGGCAAGTTAAAAAGTTAAAAATTTGTCAGAAAGTTCAATAAAATTTTTTAATAATTTTCAGGAGCCATGCAATTGTGGAGATATGAGATGCTTATCGAAAGCAGAAAATCCAATAGATGCGTTGGAACAAGGCATTGAATGTTTATTTGGTGAGATATATTCGATTAATAGAGCACTATCTAGATAGTGTAAAAAAGCAGATAGACAGTATAAAGAAAGTGATGAAAGGAGTTACAGATGATGAATTCAACAAATTACAATGGTATTGGGCGTTCGCGAAATTTAGCTCTGGATGCGCTAGTGCCCACTTATATCTAGCTCTTAAACGTATTGGAAATTGTAATAAAGCACAAACTATTTTGAAATATAACCAAGAGAATAAAATATTTCAAAAATATTTATTGTGGAAGCAGAAATATGCAAAAGTCATACAAAAGTATCTTTCGCTAGACCAAAAAACTGTTTACTCATACAAAGGTCAGGTTTTAGGTGAATATTTTAAATTCAAAAATTACAAGAGAGAACGTATTGAAAATGACAAAAAGTATAAAGATACATGAATGCCTCAGAAATCGTCTGGGTGTATGATTCAATATCGTTAAATACTTGAAATTATCAAACATGTAATAAATTTACTGCATAATAAATATTTTATACTTATAATTTGAAAGCTGCCAATTTTTTTCTTAAAATTGGATTAAGGTAAAAGCCCCAATTATTAACAGGGGTCTAAATATTGACACCCTAAATTATTTTTAAATATATCTAATTATCTGTAATAAGAATAACTATCATATAATTTTCATTTCTAATTAATTAAAAAATTGAAAAAAATTACTCAGTTGAAAATATTAAATATTAATTATTAAAAAATAAAGTTAGCACCAGTTAAAACCTTACGAGCGTCTATTTTCTTAACAACTTTGGTTAGAAAAGCAATTTTTTTAAATGCTGTTTAAATTAATTTCTTCATCTAGTTATATGATCTTTTTTTTTTTCAATTAACAATATATGAAAAATTTATAAAATTGAATAATCGAAATTAATTGTTTTTTTTATAATATTTAAATAATAGGTGTCAATAACTAGTTGATAATTTTTAAGTTGAATCTCATATTGACAGCCATTCGACAGCGCTAAGCCTTTTTTTTACTTTTAATCTAAAAAATTTACTGAGTAAGAGTTTGAACTCTTCTGATTAAATAAATTATTTTTAAAAGTAAATAATCATTTATGGAAATTATTATCAATAAACTTTAATAAAATTGATTACTTAATAATAAGTTTTGATAAATAAGAATAAGCACATGATTCTGTTAATAATTGGTGTTTCCGGATAATCTATTTAATTTTTTAAAATTAATTAGTAAATATCAGTGATTATCATTTTAAAAAAAGAAATTTACTAAAACAGAAGTTTTTATTTATCAGTAAGATACTTAAATATATATTATTAATGTTTTGAATTCGAAAAGATTGATCACTACGCTCTCTGTACACTAATATAGAAATCACATCTAGAATAAATGACGGCTATAACTGTGTACATAAATTTCTAAATTATTTTATTTTTATTTTCTAACTAAAATAATAATTTTATTTTTTTTTTTTTTTGTAAGTAAATTTATTAATTTATTTACTTAATTTATTTTTTAAAAATCTAACCTCTGAATTTTATTTTTTACAGAACATTTTGGATTAATTTACAATTAAGAGGTTAAAATCAAAATTACAATTTTTTTTTTAATTAAATCAAAAATTATATTAATAATCTTAACATTTAATTTTTTTTTAATTAGAAATTTTCCACGTGGTTTAAAAGAATAACAATTAAAAATTTTTATTGGTAAGTTTAAATAAAAAATTTATTTAAAAGACATTTAAAAATTTTTTATTGAAAAAAATTTCAATTAAACAATTAAAAAAAAAATTGAAAAATTACAAGTGCAATTTTTTATAAATCTCTTTTTAATTGTAATTTAATTAATAAAAAAAGATCAAAAATTTTTACACGTCTCTAACTTCAGTGTCATAAAAAATTAGTTCAAAATTAATTTATTAAATTAAAATAAAAAATTAATCAAGTATCTTAAAAAATTCTTTAAATAATTTTCAGAATTATAAAAATGATTCTAAACAAAGAATTACTGTGTGTAAACAAAATAAAGCCATCTTTGCTCCACCGAGCAGTACGAGACTCAGACCATTTAAAAATCGACCAACTCCTGGAGGATCCATCAACCGAAATCAATAAAAACATCTACTATTGGGACACAGCACTGCACCTAGCAGTGCGCAACAGCGACATCTCTTTGATCTCAAAATTATTGGACCATGGTTCAAAAATAAACGAACTGTCCTTCGCAGAAGGTTACTCACCGCTGCACCTGGCAGTGATGAGCAAGAACCTGGTTGTCGTGGAGCTTTTAGCCAGGCGAGGTGCAGACGTAAACGGAATGTCGACGAATTATAACCAGAGGTTCTGGACCCCTTTGCACTTGGCAGTGTCTCAAAATAATTACCCAATGGTAGACTTGTTGTTTAGGTTCAACGCGGACATCAACGGTATCCATGTCAAGAGTAGGGACATTAACAAACCTTCAGTTGGAACTAAAGTCAGAGATTATTACTACAAAACTCCTCTTCATGTTGCGGTGGTGTACAACCAGCTGGAGACAGTAAGTTATTTGCTGAATCTCGAGCAAGTAGACATCAATGCGATCGACAACCTCTACGCGAGCAAGTACGCTTCGTTGCTGTACGAAGCGATGAGGCAAGAGTGCTTGGAAACCTCCAGGTTGCTGCTGGATGCCGGGTTGAATGTAAATGCTGTTAATGAGGAGAACTGCTCTGTCCTGGAGTGTATTAACCAGCCGCATAATGACTCCTGGAGAAGGTCTGGGGAGAATCCTTGTGTGGTTGTTGTTAAAAAACATCTTGTAAAGCTGGATGTCATTGATCACCATCTCATCCAGCAGAACCTCAATGCGATTAGTGGACCTGAGCTTGATGAATTTAGGAAAGACTGTCTCAAGGAGATCCAGGTTCTTAGGAGAACTAGAATTGATGGCACTAATTTAAGTTATTATTGCGTACTATTTAAATCTGAGAGAACTCTTGCCGTCTTTTCGAGAAATGTTAATCAAAGTGTTAATAATTATGATGATCTGGTTAGGAGGTTGCCTATTTATGGCGGGATTATTTATTTTAGGCTCAAGCAGGTCTTGAAAAGGTGCAGGTTACTCAAAAAAGCTGAAAAGAGTATTTTTGAAATATTTAAAATCTTGCCTGACACTTTTGTTAGGGAAATTTTTTTGTATTTAAGCAACGAGGATCTTAAAGTTTTGATTGCTTGATTTTGAGGTATATTTAAGGGACGAAAATTTGACATCAGAAAAAAATTTTTATTTAAATTTTAATTTGACGGTCTAATTAGCAATTTACTCCATATTTTTTAGAGGGTGATTTTTTAACATTTTGATGTAGCCATAATTGAATTATAAATTATTTTAATGATTTAAACCTAAATATTATATCTCTATTAGATAATAATGATATTAAATGGTTTTTTAAAGTGATAAAAAATTTTGAACTAATTGTTTTTTTTTTTTTTCGTACAAATAGAAGATTCACTAAAATGGAGTTAGACATTTTGCTAATTAGAAACTCTAAAAAATTATTAATATAATTTTTTTTAAATAATTTTTGGACGTCTATTTATATGTAAAAAAAAGTCCTGACTAATCAACGCTGCGTGAATTTATCAGGATTTTTTTTACGTGTGAATAATGACAAGTTAGCAGACGTCTAAAAATTTTTGATTTTTTTTTTTTTTTTTTAATTAAATTACAACTAAAAAAATATTTATAAAAAAATGCACTTGTAGTTTTTCAAGTTTTTAACATATGATATTTTTTACTTTAATTGTTTGATTGACATTTTTTCGATAAAAAATTTTTAAATAGCTTACTTCATTTTAATTGTGAATAAACACTTATTAATTTTTTAGATCTAATTTATTTTTCAAGAAAAATTTTCATATGTAGAAAATTTTAAAAATTATACGTGGAATTTTTTAAATAAATTTTTGTTGTTTTAATCTAATTAGAAAAATTTATAAATATCAAATTTAGTTTTAAAAAAAATAGTGCAATTATTTGGTAATTATAAATTAATATTTAAAATTTTTCAGATGTCTAATTATTGTTCCATAAATAATTTTAATGTGTGAAAAGTTTTAACTTGTAATTTATAAATTAATTTGTAAATATTTAAAAATCAAAATATTATATAATATTAATTTAATTATTGAGTTGGTAATTTTTCTTCTGTCGGTAATTGTAAAATTTTTTTTTATCGACCGAGCATTCTCGAACAATCCCAAAATTTTATAAAACAGAGGTGAAAAATGTACAATGTACAGCGTACACATTTGCTTGTAAACGTTAGCTCAGTGTGGATCGTTAAAAAAAAGTTTTACAAAGTGAATTTTATAAGAAAGTTTTAAAAATAAATTACTTATTAATAAGTCAAGTGAAAATTAAATATTGTTATTTAATAAAAGTGTGTTTTATTAAATTTATTTAAAAAAAAAAAATTTATCAAGTGTTTATAACCTCACTTTTGATATTTTATTGACAACTAAGGTGATTAGTTAAATTTATCAAGATGAATGATAAACTGAGGCAGATGGAGGACGAAATGAGCAGGCTGGTATTTTTTTTCTATTAAAAAAAAATTTTAATTTTAACTTGAGAATTATTGAGTTAATAATTGAATTATTTTTTAGGTTCGAAGCAGAGATTGGAGGTCAGCTGATGCCAACAATAATGCGTCCAGTGATTGGAGTTAATACTTATAGTCAGGTAGCTCGTCAATTGGAGCAACATGAGTTACCAGCACCTTCAGTAGCTGCAGCAGCAGCTGCTGCTACTTTGGCGTTTTCTCCGATGATCGGATTCCCGCCACCACCTCCACCACCACCTCCACTATTAATTCCTCCACAAGTTGCTCGACAAGGTAAATTTTTTTAATTAATTATTTTTTTATTAATTAGAAATTTTTTCAGTTATAATAATTCCAATTAAACATTTCAACAAATTTATTATTATTATTATTATTATTATTATTATCGTTATCATTATTTAATAAATAAATAAATTTAAAAAATTTTTTTGAGCTCATAATAATAATGATAATGATAATAATAATAATATTAAATAAAAATTTATTAGAGTTTAAAATTTTCATTTTTTTTTCAATAAAAATTAACAAATTAAATATTAATAAATGTTTATTGTAATTCGTATAGGGTAAATGCACCAATTATTCACCGATTAAGGTTTTCTTTTTCTGTACTAAGCTATAAAAAATCTATTAACCTACTAAAAACAATTTCTAATGGATTTTATTAAAGTTAAATACTTAATTAATAATAATTAATAATGAAAATGAAGTTAGCCGACATTTCAAAATTTTCAGAAATTTTTTTATTGAGAAAATTTCAATTAAACAATTAAAAAAAAAATGTCACATGTAAAAAAAACTTGAAAAACTATAAGTGCAATTTTTTATAAATATCTTTTTAGTTGTAATTTAATTAATAAAAAAAAATTAAAAATTTTTACACGTCTTCTAACTTCAGTGTCATAATTAATAACTATTTATAATAAAAATTAACAAAATTATATTAATTTTGTTATTTGAATGTTGAAATACTAAAATCACCAATTATTGACCGAAGGAACCCAATAAATGACCGACCGTTCTCCAATTAATTGAATTAAATTTATTGATTTATGCCAAAGCCTTCACTGGCCAGATGGCAATAGAAAAATATACATTTTGTGAATACAATACATTTTTAAATTTTTTCATTTAAACATAATAATTATAACTTATATATAATTATACATAATAAGATATTAGAAGAAGTAATATTGCTTATATACTATAATATTGAAGAAACAATTTAAGTGATTTAATAGTTTTACTGTATTTAATAATTTTAAAAATTTTAAAGATTTAACTGAAAATTTATTTTAGATTTAGATCTCTAGATTAAAAAGGTAATCATAAAGATTATTTTTAAAAATTTCTATACTGGGAGCATTTATCACATCGTTTGTTGGAACGCTTCACGTAATAATTATCCGTAACTCCTATTCTTTCCCGATTCACAGCATTATTTATATTTGTTAAAAAATGCTAACCGTAAGATGGACGGTGTGGCTTAAGTGAAAGGAAATTTAGTATAGACCGGAGAGCTCAAATGGTAGAGTAGCCGACATATCTTCGGAAGGTTCTGGGTTCGAATCCCAGTCCGAGCAAT